ACCGCAGAGACGAGAGCTGTGCTTGTTTGTTGTTCTATTGTTACTTCCTGTTGAGTTACAACACTGCCATCAAGATGAGTGGCATGGTTGTTCGAATGGTGACAGCTGTCGCGAGTGCGATTCGCGAGTGCCTGGCAAGAGTTTGGACAAGGCGGGAGCCAACATGGAAGTGGCCAAGTACTCGGAAAAGCTGGTTCCCTCAACGCGGTTTGTGGCGGTCGATGGGGTGGCTCCTCGCGTTGCTGAGTATGGTACCTTTGTGGCTCCATCTGCCTCGGTGATTGGAGATGTCACGATTGGTCGCAACTCGTCCATTTGGTATGGCAGCACCGTGCGTGGTGATGTCAATACCGTTTCCATTGGAGAACGTACGGCCATCATGGACCGTGCCGTCATTCATGTGGCCAAAATTCAAGGAGACAGTCCCACGAACATTGGAAACAATGTGACAGTAGGTGCCGGTGCTCTCATTCATGCGGCCACGGTGAAGGATTTGTGTGTTATTGGAGAATCTGCTCAAGTATTGGATGGTGCGTTAGTGGAATCCAATTCGATTGTCGATGTTGGTGCCGTTGTCACACCCGGAACGGTGGTTCCAGGAGGAGAATTGTGGGCTGGTGCTCCTGCCAAGAAGGTTCGAGAATTGACAGCAGAAGAAATTGCCAGTATTCCTCAAAAGGCCAGGGATGCCCTCGAGTTGGCATCGATGCATGCCGTTGAGAATTCCAAGGATTATGCTCAAGTCCAAGAGGAAGAAGATTGGATCGACTTCTTAGAGGATACCCAAGAAGATGATCCTCATCGAACACCGCCACCTTGGCATAATCGATGATGATATTCAAGGAATGGGTCATCCGGGACGCATCTTTAATTCTACATTGACTCATCCAGAAGAAGGAATCAAAAAGTAAAAAGGCAAGTGGATGGAACGGATCATTGTTACGGGTTGCTTCCTGTCAATCTGTGATACTAGTATAATTAAATTTTAGCTAGTGAATGGTGTAAAGTGCGTGTTGATTCGGTTGGTGATGTACCGATGCTGAATCGGGCCAATAGGCAAGCTAAGTCCAACCATTTCCTTTGGTCCGTTCATCATCAAAAAAATTGGCTTTCACCTTCCAGTTGTTTCCTGCCTCAATCCACTCCAAATCAGTAAGGTAGGCCCACCGACTGCGTGCTTTCTTCTCTGACTCTCGAATCACAAAGGGTACTTTCTTGTTGACTGAAGAAATCATTGAGGTGCCCAGAGCTTTGAAAAGGTGCTGCAGTTCATTGTCATCGCAATACATTTGGATATATGTCCATGAGTACCATTCAGCTGGAAGTCTAGGAACATCAAATGCTTTCTTTGGTTCCTGCCAGGGCCTGTTGGAAAGGTCGCTGACTGGTGCAATAACCTCTTCTTCCAAGGAGTACTGGCCGATGGCGATAGGTATGTCGGTCGCTCCATTTTTTGATCGAACCAACCACACTTCTCCACAGGCAGTCTGCTGCCAGCCCACAATCAGAAGGGCATGGTTTGAGTCCACCAGCCCATTCTGAAAGTCAGTTGCATGGGCGCAGGCTTCAAAGAAGGACTGTGAGTAACAGAAGGATGTTGAAACTACAGGCCCACGAGCCATAATTTCTTCCTTGATTTCATTGACAGAACCAAGAGTTTTGGAACCACCAAAGTCTTCAAACAGTTCCTTTGCTGTCTTTGCAGAAGCTTCCACAACATGATGATAGTTGTAGGTCACCTCTGTGGTCTTGCCATGCGCAATGGTACCACGGCAATTGATGCACTTGTAGGCCATGGTCAACTCAAGTTCCTGTCCACTCACTCTGCAATCCCAGAATACATGTGGAGGCCCATTGATGCCAAGGGCATGGCTGGCCAAGAAAGCCCATTTGCCGTTGACATGGAAATAGGAAGGCAGATTCATGGAAGGGTTCGTGTGCTGTTTCTTGCGTCTGGTGCGCTGCTTATGAAGACCTGTACCAGTGCACTTGTCAAAAAAGGTCTGTACATCCTGAAACCTCTTGGTAGCATGTTGTTTATCGTCATTATTCTTGTCTGGGTGGATCAGGAGTTTCAGCTGCCGAAAGGTACTTGCACGCTTTCTCTCATTGCAGAAACCTTCTTTATCCAAGGAAGGGTCCACAATCTGAAGAAGCCAAAAAAGAGCATCACGGCTTGGTTCCTCCTGCAAGGCTTTGTCCACTTGTTGGAGAATGATGCGTCCAAAGCGAGCCTCCATGATTACAGAAATAAATTGTGTCGCTTGCTTGTATTGTGGCAGCACTCACAAAAGAAATGAATGAAAGGATGCATTTCGCACAAGGATCGCTCTCGTGGCAAGCGTGGAAACGCGAGGTCGTGGGCAATCATTAATTTTCGCACTTGGACTTCGCAAGGTCCCGAAACGGATCGAACGATAGGTACGGGCATGTGCAGACGTTTGTGAACGTGACCGATTTTCAAAACCCATCTTTTAGATCTAGTTTACCGTTTTGGCTTAGTTTCTTGAGGTTTTTGGCTCGTTTCAAGGACTGATTGAATCCTACCTCTCCCGTCTCCCACTTGATTCCAATATTCCTTTGCTTGCTGGGCTTCAAAGTCTATCCTGTACTCTTTTCTCCAACACCTTTGTCAAAACGTTGTCACCTCCGCGTTACGGTACCTGGTATGGTAGCATCAACATGATACTAGTATTAGTTTCTTGACGGTTTTTGGCTCGTTTCACGGAATGCGCTGATTGAATCCTACGGTATCCATACCCCTACTCCTAGACTACTAGAGTACTTGCTAGTTTGATCCCAATAATCCTTATCTTGTTGGGCAACACCTGTCAAAACGTTGCCTACGGTCACACCACTTTTGCCTCCGCGTTTCAATGAGTGTTATCCTTGGCGTCTCAACACGCTCCCGAATGGTTCTGCTGGCTTTAATCTAAATCTTTTCGCTCGAATGATCGATCGAATCGATCAATCGAATTCAATCTACGCTTCTTCGACACCAGATGTGTGGCGAAGCCTTCCGACCACAAACCGAAAATCCCCTTGGAAGCATTGGTCTCTTTCTTCCTCTGCTGTACCTATCTATCTTATCACCACCGAAGGTACTTTCAAGATGATGCAAATGGGTCCCGGTGGTCCTCCCGTCATGGTGCTCAGTAAGTTCTCTAGCTAGCTGGAAGTGTAGCTTCTCACGGTTCCAGTTGACGGTTGTGCGCTTGGCTGTTGCTAGCAACAAGCCCATTTCATTCTTGTCATTTTTCTCGCTATCATTCTCACTCTTTTTATAGACGCCAAGACACAACGTCAAACTGGCCGTGCGGCGCAATTGGGAAATATCGCAGCCGCTCGTGCCGTGGCCAATATTATCCGCACAACGTTGGGGCCGCGTTCGATGCTGAAAATGCTCTTGGATCCCATGGGCGGCATTGTCTTGACCAATGACGGATCTTTCTTGTACTAGCTAGAGTACGGCTGTAGTTGTTGTCGGTGGATTGGATTTGGTTGGTGCGGCTGCTTTGGATTTCTAGCTAGGAAGCACAGTTTCTCCATCGATAAAGTAAGTCACGAGTATAGCGTGGTCGAGGTGCACCCGACCTCCGAGGCGCCTTTTGGCTTGGTGGTGATACTTGGTACCGGTACCTGGTACTGGTACCAGTACTTTTACGGGTACCGCCGTACCGGTAACGCTCACAATGGCACTCCCGTTGTCAGCTGGTCTTTTGTGAATTTTGGATGGTGTCCTTCTCGACATTCGGCGGACGGATCAACTAGCTCAACACTCATACCGGTACCTTGTCTTCAGGGCTCAAGCCTTGGCCCGGACGAATGATGAATCGCATCGCTTTTGTCGCGACCCTTGAACACGGCATGGATGCAATGACAAAGCAACGATGTTTGCTGATCGAATTGGTCGATGATCAATTCCACTAACAGAGTTTAGTAGTTCTCGCTGGTTCAGGAGGAAGATGCTTTTCGTGTCGCTTGCAGTCCCAACTTTGGCTTCTCTTGCCACGGCTTGCAATTCCCGTCACGATTACGATCATTGGCAGCTGCAAGGCGAGAGGTGCCGCGCGGACAGCTCCAGCTCCAACACCCGAATTCAAATGGAACACGATCTGAGGTAATCTCAATCCATGCATGGTGTTGTGATCTCCAACATTGCCTGGTTCTCGATCCTTCCGAAAGTGTCATTGTCATCGACGCCCATTGCATACCGGTACCGAAAGCCTCCGTATGCATCTACATCGGGAGGACCCAGTGGTATCACGACCGAACAAGTGCTCGAGAGTACTGATGTATTGAATAGAGCCTATGGTGGGGCCCACGACCGACAACGACGTCTACTACGAGGCCTCGACTGGAGCAACAACGGAACGAATGATAGCAGAATCGCGCGTGGGAGATGCATCGACTACTCGATGGCTGTCTCGATGTATCTCGTGGCATCCTAGGAATTGATAGAGTCGTGGCTTCCGCAAACTCGGCGCCATGTGGGGGGGTCTATTGAGAACATTATTTAATCATGGCCACATTCGAGTCCACGAAGTGGGTGATTGGCTTGGGCTTCGTCATGTGCGTATGTGCCGTGTTTGAATGAAACAGCTGTTTGTAAGTTCGCTCGCTTGGTAGCTATGGCGGTCATGTGAGATTTGCGGCGTTCCATTAGCGGGAGTGGGGACTACGTTGGCGACACTCCGGCTCAGAGGGAACCAACGAAGGACTACCACAGTTGCTCTTTCTGCGCAGGAACTGACGCGGTGAACAATTTCATGGACTAAAGTGATGATAGCTAAATCGAATCATAGTACGATAGCAAAATGTGACTACTGAGTGACAACCGTCGCTCACGGGGTACGTACATTGCTGCTGTTGCTGCAGACATGAGCCTTCCCCTCCTACTTCTCACATCACATCGCAACGCACGAGGCTTCACTCTCAGCAAATTGTTGGAATGGCACATCAGTAATAGCATACATAATGTGCTACTAGTGCGTGCAAATCAATTTGCCCTACCCACCGTGCCGGGATACAGGGAGACTCCCCAACTGCCATGTCACTGATGTCTGCTTTGGGTGGACCAGTAGGAAGTTTCAGCTTTAGAAACTTATAGAAATGATGTATCGGCCAAAAATTGGAAACACCCTGCTTCACCTCTAGTCATTCAAAGTGAAACCACGCTGGCTTCATCAACAAAGGTGTCTGTGGTCTCGGCATCTTCCTCCCAAACTGCCTTCACTTTTTCAATCATCTCACTGACAACTGCTTCCCCACGCTCTTCCCATTCCCTCCGATTCTGAATGGCATAGGTCAGGTACTCATCAGAGGCAACCCCAAAAACACCACAGTCCTTTAACTTCTTTGCCAGTGGGATGATGTAGAAGTCAAAGAAACCAATCTCTCCCTTATACCAGAATTCAGAAGGGTCCTTCTCAGAACGGCCCTCCTTGTAGGCCTTGTACATCTCCTCAAATAGCCTCTGGTTCCATTTCTACAAGTGAAGGGGTGGGATGGGAGCAAAGTTAGTGATTGCAAAAGCCGTTCATTGAAGGAGCACATACAGTATGGACCTACCCTGTACACATGCCAGTGTTGCATTGTGTGAGCCACATCGGAAGCCTGAATCAGGTGCTCAATCTGTTGAATTACAGAGGTCACAAAGGAAACACAGGATGAGATACTGCATACTAGGCAGATCCAGGCCAGAGCCACAAGCAGTTCAAACTCACAACAATTGTGGCCTTGCGGTTGGTGGTCACGTGTGCATCCTCGCTTGGATCCTGTTCTGAGAATGCCTTCTCCCATCTAGCATTGCGCAACCCCTTCAGGTCCTTGTCCATGATGTCAGTAGCCATCACAGAATTCACAACAAGCTGTTTGAGGCGTGTCCACTCAGCATCTGTTGCAGCGATGGCACCCCTCAGGTCACAATACTCAGGACGCAAGAGCATCTCCCATGAGAGTACAACGGAGTTCTGCTCAGCTACACTCTTGCCCTTGTATCGCTTGGCTGTTTCGGTCTCTTCCTTCACAAGTTGAGTATTGGGCACACCAACATGATCGGCATCATGAATCAATGCAGATAGGATACAGGCAAACTGGGTAAGAGGATCCGAAGTTATGCCATAAGTATGGTCATGGAGGCTGGAGGCCACACATTTGCGTGTATCAATTCGATCTGAAGAGTGGGCAACAATGCGGGAGAGGAGCTTGGACACTGACATCATGACATGGCTCGCATGATCAAAGTTATGGAAAGGCTAAAGTTTGTGGGAGAGCAACCATGATTAGGCACACTGCCAGCGAATTTTGATGTTCTCTCTCTTTAGCCTTCTTCTGACTTACATTGTTGTGGTAGAGATCGGCAATGCTGGTCACATACTTTGTGAGTTGCTGCACAACACCTTCAGGCAGTTCAATGGACTCTGGATCTTCTTGTTTCTTGGCCAGCTTATGATCAAAGTCTGGAAGCTCAATGATTTCACAGACTTCATCAATCACACTTCCCGCAACAGCATCAGGTAGGATGCTATCCCCTGATTTAGCACTGGGTAGGATAGCTTTCTTCTTTGCTTTTCCCATGGCATTACGGCGAGCAGCAATTTGCTTCAACGTCCCCTTTAGAATATCCACGCTCCACTCAATCAGTCTTGCTTCCTTGTCGTAAGGCATCTGATAAATGTCCTCTAAATATGCATGGGAACTAACATCAGTGCTGGCTTGTGACCCAGGGCTACACCCCTTTACATTTAGCCAGTATGTTTGGAGCTGGACAAAAGAATGCAGTGAACTCTTGAGGTGAGTGACTTGTCCACGCAGGGCACACCCTAATCCATTGTAAACAAGTTGCGGTAACTCACTTGGCCCTTCCCTTTCACAAAGACTTCATGGGATCTAGGGCTGACCCATTTTTCATTTCCTGCAGCCTTGAGCAGTTCTGCAGTCTCAGTTGATATCTGAACTCTGCCTGGCAAACCAGTTGATTCCATCCTTGAGGCAGTGTTCATGGTGTCACCAAAGAGTTGGAAGCGAGCTCGATCGCCCCTGAGCACCCCTGCAGTGACTGGACCACTGTGCAAGCCAATGCGGATATTCAGATCTCCAGTATCGGGCCCAAGTGTTACCTGGTGAGAGAAAAGAAGTAGTAGATTAATTTAGTGTCAGAGAAGCGAAGCTGATTGACATGGTATTCTCCTGCCGGTTTCTTACCTCCAATCTCTTGGTGAGCAGTCCCATCTTATAGACACAGCGAGAAGCTACACGGCTCATCACAACAGCATGATCCTTTCTGGGGTCAGGAAGCCCTGCGACTGCAACATAACAGTCTCCGACTGTGGAGGAAAGTTCAAAATGGTTGAGAAGAAGGTCCACAGTGGCATTAGGCAGTGCATGACTGGCACTCACCTGTTTCCACCTTGAAGGCACCTTGCTGCTTGGTGATCTCATCATAAGCTTCATAAATAGTCTCCAGTAGCGTGAAGACTTGACAGGGCTCTCTCTCACTGGACCAGGCCGTGAAACCTGCAATGTCAGCAAACCTACGCACAGATTAATCCAGTTATTAGAACCCAGTTCAAGACTGACCCAACTGCGTACGATCTGGCAAGATGAGACTTACATGATTGTGGTATCAGTGAAGAGATCTGCAATGGGCTTTGACCTCCTTTTATAGCTTTCACCAGGACCAAACTGTGCAACATCTTCACTGTCAGAATGATCAGCTTGGTCGTTTTTGCTGAACAGGAAGGATTTCAGCTTTGCCCTTTCATCAGCCATCATTCGTTCTCGGATCTGAGCTGGAAAGAGTGATGACACAATGGCATTGGACCTTGCTGTCACTTGATACGCCAAGATAAGTTCCTGGTTGATGATGTTGGAGACGTAGAACGCTAGGGCTGGCACAATCAATGCAATTGCTACTACAATGATCTGATGATCAGTCCAGGCATTGGGACTGGTGTTGTTTGTGTCCCAGGTCTTCTGGCATGTGTATGAGGAGTCATCATCTGGATAGTAGGTAACACTAAGCATACCAAAAAAATGCAGGGCACAAACCGCCAATGCAATGACTCCAGCACTCAGGTATCGAAGCCACTGCTGACTGATCTTCCATCGCAAACGGAATATAATCCAGAACCCAACGAAACAAATCACAGTGGCCATGCAGCATGATATGGCAATGAATCCCGTGTTCCACTCTCTGTAGAAGGGCCCCCTCTGAGCCATCATTCCTGTGTAGTGCATCACAATTGCCCCTGAAGCAGCTAGAACACTGCCCATGGCCAAGTAGTGCAACCTGTAGAAGTAGGTTACCTTGGTGAGTTCCCAAGCAGCTTCCTTGTCCGAGATAAAGCTGTCTCCAACAATGATCTCCAAGATCTTGACCCTGTCCGGTGTTGCGAATACATCATTCCCTGCTACCTTGATTGCTGCATACATCATCACTACCACAGCAGCAAGAGACCCAACAGTAATGGCCCAATCGTAGCAAATGGGTACCCCCTCTATGGTGACAGCTGCCATTCCCACAAAGTGCATGCACCAAACAGCACCGAATCCCAACATGATAGCAGCATAGACATCAGGATACTTGATGATGGCCGCCTTCTTCAATTCCTCGGACCTCCAAAGGCAGTGATCCATCAAGTGAACAGCACTGTAGGAAGCAACACAAGCAAGAGCGTAGGCAAAGATGACAAAGGCAAAGTTCCAAGTCTGTGTGAGTGGCTCATCAGTATGACCTTCATACTGATAGGAGGAGTCCATGAGCAAAGTGGCAAGGGTATCAGACTCGATGGCTGAGGCTGAAGCTGAAGCTGCGTCAGTGCCATTCAGAGCATGTTCCACGTTTATTTGCACCACGAAATCCGGTTGCACAAGTCCCATATTGATTGTAAGTACTGAGATGAAAGGCTTTGAGAAGAGGATTAGCGAAAAAATGTGATTCTCAGGCAGGAGCGGAGCGATCCTGGTGGACTGGCGGATAAACTATGATGTCAGAGGACTCTTTTTGCTGCCACGTAGGAGCTGTTGGTTGAAGGAATGCGCAATTGGAGAGAGTCCGAGGAATAGTCTAATAACAACAACAACAATGGCCTTCTGCTTTACATGCTGATCATGTCATTGTGTTTCGACTGTTCACAGGGCACTACAGTTTTGGTGGTTCTTGCGAGGGCGACTGTACCTGAAACAAATATTGGGGATGTCCCAGTGTCAAGGTCACCCTTCCTGGAAATTGGTGAGTTAGTTGCAAACGAAGAAAGACTTAGTGCAACACTTCAACGAAGCTGCCGGCACGGTAATGCCCATTGCCCATTGCTGAGCAGCCCCATTCGTTTTAACGTCATTCGTGGTGTCTTTGAAAATAAATAGTCTAGAGGATGCTGTTTTCGGAACAACAGGCCACTTGTAGATACCGGTAGCCTGTCCAAAGCACTATTCATTCGAGTAGTGCCGTACATGTAATTTTAAAATCACTCAAAAGCATTTAAAACTCGCTCGAGTGAGCACTGGCTGACTCGATTACCGGTAGACTACTCAGTTACTCAGTTACTGGAATAGTATTGGTACTGGAGTTACTACCGGTACGGTGTGGCGGTGAGTGGCGGTGTGGGTTTAAATACCGCTACTGGTGGTACCGGCACAGGTTATTGGCACGAAAAGAAACCTCTAATTCCCGCCCTCAACGAATTCTAAGAGGCGAAGGATGTACATCAGAGTTCTTTCGACTTGAAGACAATAATGAATTGCCCTCCTTCCGTCATCAAAAACTATTAATACTAGTAATTAACATTAGCTGTCATATATTAGATTTAACATTGCAACTCTGCTGTTCTAGTACATGTACGCACAACGCACAACAGTTGCTGTAGGTCCGGTACGCGTAGTACACTAAGTCTTACAGACTTCACTCAAATTGTCGAGTTCCAGGATGTGGGGTTCTTCGCTGCTCGATGATCAACCTATACCGAGAACTGAGTGCACTGAGAACTGTGTCCTATGTGCTATTAGCTAGCTAGAGCCAGCTGTGCTATTAATACAGGTAGCCAGAGCTGTGAGCTGCTGTGCTAGTAGCTTTTTTGTAGTACCGGCAACCGGTACTGTAGCCGTACAGTTTTTTATACTAGCTAGAGTACATGTACATCATGTCGTTTGTAGTCTACTAGAGCAATGATGAATGATCAATCCATGCATTGCTACATTGCTACCGTACCGCTACTACACTGCACATGTAGCTACCGGGTATGTACTAGCTAGTTAGCTATTGATGTTGAGCAGTTGAGCATTGGCAACTGGCAAGAACAAGAAAATCCGATAACACTCTCGCACAAGAAACAAAACTGGTATGAACTTTTTGTCCCGGTACTCGGGACCAAGCAGAATATAATATGAAGGTATGCAGGTATGCCACTTCACGCTCAAGACCAAGCGTTCCGGCACTCTATCAACTATTAATAGCTACTCGTACTGAGTAGTAGACTATCAATGGGCGGATTTGGCCGAGAGGCTTTAGCTAGCTAGAGTCAAGTAAGTCACTGAGAAACCTCAGAAAGGCTTTACTCTGTCGTCGGCGATGTCTGAACAGAATGATGCAAGGATTTATGAATTGTGACTCGTTTCTCTATGGCGAATGGCGAATGGGACAAACCTGACCGAGCACCGAAAATGGCCAAGTGTCCAGATGCCTCTCTTGCAACAGAGCCGCAGAGACATGGAGAGGATCACGGAAGGAGGAAGGAGGCTGGGGCGCCGAAATGAAAAGTGATGGATTGGCAATGGGGATCGGCCATGAGGCTCGCTGACTTGGACCGGCGCTTTGACTAACCGCAGCAATCAAATTCCACCATCCATAAGCGCCAATGAATGTTCGCATCAGGACACCGCTCATGTGCACTTGGTCCTCGCGTCCCTCCCAATGTTGGAACCTTAATCAGACGCAGGCGGCTGTTGTCAAGGCAATTCGATGCTTTCAAGGGCACTCATAAATTGGATATCTTTGGCTGGCTGAGGTACACAAACAAGCAACCGGTCTGTTCCGCTGTTGTTTGTGTTTGGGCGCGTGTCCTCTCAGGGAATCAAGGTGTCCACGTCGACCTACCAACTTTACTTGGTTTGCATACGGACCTCTGCAAGTACCGCTGGTTTGGCTTGGGGAATACGGTGCATGATGCCAAAGAAGCCATCCCTCTGGGAGGTACGGTATCGTACCACTTTCAAGGTACGATGCCCTCACTACCATTGTTGACGACTTGCAATCGGATTGTCATTCTGCAACCTACGCGACTCCAGAGTCGTTGTGCCGCTCTTTGTGGTCAAGTTTCGCCTGGCCGGAGTCACTGGAGCTCCACCCCGATCAAGGCACGATGCTCTGTTTGGATGCGTTTCAGGAGTGGCCGGCTGTCTCACTTGTCCGTCCCTGTCGAAGGAGATCAAGCTGCGGTTTCAAAAAGGTTACTCAACATTGAATTTGACGTGGTGATACCGTACTGCACAAAGGTCTGGTTTGACTCGGCTTCTCGTCCGCAATGTTGTGCTTCACACTGCCAGGTTTCTGATGCTTCTTCCAAGCTTTGAAAACTCGGAATGAAGACAAGTCGCCACATTCTACCGAACGAACCTCTCGGACCATCCCGTACTGTACCGTGGGACTTCTTGGCAGATTAACCCAACAATGTGGCAACGGTAATTTGAAGCGCTTCAAGGTGGCTACGATGGAATATATTTCACAACGGAAACGCCTAGCTCTGGCTAGCTATAACCAGAGGAGTCAAGATGCATCGTCTAGCACTCGAAAACACGGTGCAAACAACTGGGCATTGTTTCCGCTCCTGTTACCACTGGGTTCTCAGGTTCCGGCAATCACCACAGCACGGGGAAGAAGATTGAGGCCGCAAAATCATACACATCAAAACAAGCTTTAGAAACTATAGAAACGTTGATGCCTAAAATGGTAGCACCCCCTCTTCAGCACTGGGTAACTGGCTAGTCATTCAGTGAAACCATGCTCGCTTCATCATCAAAGGTGTCTGTGGTCTCTACCTCTTCTTCCCAAACAGCTTTCACCTTTTCAATCATCTCATCGACAACTGCTTCCCCGCGTGCTTCCCATTCCCTCCGATTCTGAAGGGCATAGGTCAGGTACTCATCAGAGGCAACCCCAAAAACGCCACAGTCCTTCAACTTCTTTGCCAACGGGATAATGTAGAAGTCAAAGAAGCCAATCTCTCCCTTGTACCAGAATTCAGTAGGGTCTTTCTCCGAACGTCCCTCCTTGTAGGCCTTGTACATCTCCTCAAATAGCCTCTGGTTCCATTTCTATAATTGAGGGGGTGGAATTATAGCAAAGTTTAGTTATGGCAAAGACCATTCATTGAAGGAGCAGAACACAGTATGGACCTACCCTGTACACATGCCAGTGTTGCATTGTGTGAGCCACATCGGAAGCCTGAATCAGGTGCTCAATCTGTGGAATTACAGAGGTCACAAACGAACACACAGGATGAGATACTGCAGATTAGGCAGATCGACAAACATTTCAAACTCACAACAATTGTGGCCTTGCGGTTGGTGGTCACACGTGCATCCTCGTTTGGATCCTGTTCTGAGAATGCCTTCTCCCATCTAGCATTTCGCAGCCCCTTCAGGTCCTTGTCCATGATGTCAGTAGCCATCACAGAATTGACAACAAGCTGTTTGAGGCGTGTCCACTCAGCATCTGTTGCAGCGATGGCACCCCTCAGGTCACAATACTCAGGACGCAAGAGCATCTCCCACGACAGCACAACAGAGTTCTGCTCAGCTACACTCTTGCCCTTGTATCGCTTGGCTGTTTCGGTCTCTTCCTTCACAAGTTGAGTATTGGGCACACCAACATGATCAGCATCATGAATCAATGCAGATAGGATACAGGCAAACTGCGTAAGAGGATCCGAAGTTATGCCATACGTATGGTCATGGAGGCTGGAGGCCACACATTTGCCTGTATCAATTCTATCTGAGGAGTGGGCAACAATACGGGACAGGAGTTTGGACACTGACATAATCACATGGCTCGCATGTTCAAAATTATGGAAAGGCTAACATTTTGTGGGAGAGCAAGCAGGATTAGGTACACTGCCAGTACATTTTGTTGTTCTCTTTTCAGCCTTCTCATGACTTACATTGTTGTGGTAGAGATCTGCAACGCTGGTCACATACTTTTTGAGCTGCTGCACAACATCTTCAGGCAGTTCAATGGACTCTGGATCTTCTTGTTTCTTGGATAGTTCATGATCAAAGTCTGGAAGCTCAATGATCTCGCAGACTTCATCAATCACACTTCCCACAGCTCCAGGAGGTTGGATGATGGCACATGATTTAGCCCTGGGTAGCATAGCTTTCTTCTTTGCTTTGGCCATAGCATTACGGCGAGCAACAATCTGCTTCAAAGCCCCCTTTAGAATATCCACATTCCATTCAATCAGTCTTGCTGCCTTGTCATTTGGGATCTGGTAAATTTCTTCCAGATGGGCATGGGATGAGCTTATATCACTGCTGTCATGTGACTTGGGGGAAGACCCCTTTACATTTAGCCAGTAGGTTTGGAGCTAGAGAAAAGGATCCAGTGAACAAAAGAGGTGAGTGACTTGTCCATGCATGACACACCCTAATGGATCTTAAACAAGATGCGGTCACTCACTTGGCCCTTCCCTTTCACAAAGACTTCATTGGCTCTTGGGATTAACCATCTTTCCTTCCCTGTAGCCTTGAGCAGTTCTGCAGTCTCAGCTGAAACGTGAACCTTTCCTGGCAAGGCAGTTGATTCCATTCTAGCTGCCATGTTCATGGTGTCACCAAACAGCTGGAAGCGAGCTCGATCACCCCTGAGCACCCCTGCAGTGACTGGACCACTGTGCAAGCCAATCCGGACATTCAGGTCTCCTGTGTCAGGCCCAAGTGTTACCTGGTGAGAGAAAAAGAAAAATGAGGTATTGCGAGTCAGAGAAGCGAAGTTGATTGATATGACACTCTCCTGCTCATTTCGCACCTCCAATCTCTTGGTGAGCAGTCCCATCTTATAGACACAACGAGAAGCTACACGGCTCATCACAACAGCATGATCCTTTCTCGGGTCGGGAAGCCCTGCAACGGCAACATAGCAGTCTCCGACTGTGGAGGAAAGATTCAAAATTGTTGAGAAGGGTCCACAGTGGCATTAGGCAGTGCATGACTGGCACTCACCTGTTTCCACCTTGAAGGCACCTTGCTGCTTGGTGATCTCATCATAAGCTTCATAAATAGTCTCCAGTAGCGTGAAAACTTGAGATGGCTCTCTCTCACTGGACCAGGCTGTGAAACCTGCAATGTCAGCAAACCTACAGATCAATCAGTTAGAAACACAGTGCAAGACCAACCAACCTGCGTGCAATCTGGCACAAGATGAGACTTACATGACTGTGGTATCAGTAAATAGATCTGCAATGGGCTTGGACTTCTTTTTGTTGCTTTCATCGTCACTAAAAGGTGCAACGTCTTCGCCACTCTCAGAATCATGACTCGTGTTGAAGAGAAATGATTTGAGCTTGGACTTTTCATCGGCCATCATCCGTTCTCGGATCTGGGCTGGAAAGAGGGATGACACAATGGCATTGGATCTTGCTGTCACTTGATATGCCAGGATGAGTTCCTGGTTGATGGTGTTGGAGATGAAGAAGGCAAGTGTAGGCACAATTATGGCGACCGCAAGAATGACAACCTGCTGGCCAGTCCAGGCACCGGGACTGGTGCCATTCTTGTCCGATCCTTTCTGGCATGTATAGGAGGAGGTGTCACCAGGAAAGTATGTTACACAAAGCATTCCAAAGAAGTGTAGTGTACAAAATGCAAAGGCAATCACACCAGCACTCAGGTATCGAAGCCACTGCTGACTGATCCTCCACTGCAAACGGAAGATAATCCAAAAACCAACGAAACAAAAGATGAGGGCCATGCAGCAGGATACGGCAATGAGTCCCACATCCCATTCTTTTCTGAATGGTCCCTTTTTGGCCATGGTTCCTGTGTAATGCATCACTATGGCCCCAGAAGCAGCTAGGAAGCTGCCCATTGCCAAGTGCTGCAACCTGTAGAAACAGGTTACCTTGGTGAGCTTCCAAGCGGCTTCCTTGTCCGATACATAGTTGTTTCCCACAATGCCCTCCAAGACCTTGATCCTATCTGGTGTTGCGAATACATCATTCCCTGCTACCTTGATTGCCCCAAACATCAGAACTACCACAGCAGCAAGAGACCCAACAGTAATGGCCCAATCGTAGCAAATGGGTATCCCTTCTATTGTCACAGCTGACAGTCCCACAAAGTGCATGCACCAAACAGCACCAAACCCCAACATGATAGCAGCATAGACATCAGGATACTTGATGATGGCCGCCTTCTTCAATTCCTCTGACCTCCAAAGGCAGTGATCCATCAAGTGAACAGCACTGTAGGAAGCAACACAAGCGAGAACATAGGCAAAGATGACAAAGGCAAAGTTCCAGGTCTGCTTGAGTGGCTCTTCTGCAATACCTTCATACTCATAGGATGAGTCCATTAGCAAAGTAGCAAGGGTATCCACCTCTGTAGCCGAAAGAGCTTCAGTTCCGTTGAGGGCCTTCCCTTGAACCACGAAATCGGGGTGCAAGAATCCCATGTTCAGCGCAATATCTGATGAAGAGTGAGTGAAAGTCCCCAGTGGAAATACTCGGTTGCTCTATCTTTCTCTTCAAAAGTGTGAGCTCCGGTGAAGAAGAGCGGGATGATGTCGACAAGGTCAAGGCCAATTGCCCTTGGCTCCAGCAAGCCACCTTCCGCCCTATTCTGGTGAAAGGAAAGACTACAGTGACGATCGTAGAACTACTTATGCCTCGAAGCAGCCTTGGACAGTAGATCTAGGTATTAATAGAACAGCACTCGAAAATAAGTGAAAAGCAACAAGGTCACTTTGAAAATATAATTCCTGACTCATAAGACCGAGGTATTAATAGACTACAGCGTGAAGAAGCACTGAGATCTAGAGGTCCGGTGGCTCTTGGATAGTACTCGGCGGGAGACCGGAACACTACTGGAACACTGGAACGAAGCCGAGTGGCAAAAGAAACTCACTAAGAATGGAAAGTTTCGGCTTGACGTCGGTGTTGGTCTAAATACTCTACTAGAAAGCCGTGGTCCTTTCCTGCTTTAAGAACTCGATGAATGTTTGTTATTTCCACGTTTTCTTTCGCAAAGCGACCTGGCCATGTATCGTTAAAGCTTGCTTTTGTTGGTTGCCGCAGAGGCAATTGACGTGGTGTTCCAAGTTCAAAGATCAGATGTCTTTATTGAGCCTCATAATTCCTGGTGACACATATCGAATTAATCAGTCTTAAAGGTACATGTAGCGGTACCGTTGGCTCGTGAGTAATTTGACAAAGTCGAGCATCTCCACATCTCCACACTCCAACACTCAACTTGTGAAGTTGGAAGTTGGAAGACAACTGTTCGAGATCTGCACATCAGATTCTGCACATTGAGATTCTACCACGCTATCATCTCGCACGTCCTATGCATACGTGTATCTACTAGTAGACCTAGTAGCTAGAAAGAGAGCATCCACAATAGAGCCCCGCAGCAATATGTTTTCATAGTTTCCATAGTCGAGCAAATGGCATCTGCTTGTTTTTGCCACGCACACACCACAAGCTTGCCCAGTTGATCGACTAGCTAGCCGCAGCAATCAAGAATCCGATTGACACTGGTATTAGCAAAGCGTTCTGAGAACTGGAAAGGCTCACTCGAAGTACCGGCATGAAGCCGTGGCGAAAGAAAAGCCTCGACTTTCTGGACATTATACCGGTACCGGTACGGCCTCCAACCAACGCTCTTCTTCGCGCCTCTATGGCTGCATCAGAACTAATTGATGTGTCAGGTACATTTAAACATGTAGTTTAGCTACATCCATTCCATCAAAGAATGCAAAAACAGAATGATCGTAGCTAGCTGGGATTCACATTGTGCATTGTGTGTAGGAGTACTTGAGCAAGATACCTAGACTAACCAGGGGAAGTCACACTCGGAGCCGAGTGAGTAAGCTTGAAGGAGATCCAAGAATTTCATAGCTTACCCCCGTGTGAGTCTGAAGTATAACGTCTAGTTCTGTTTGCGTTGAAGCTAACGGTGTGAAAGTACGTAAAACATTAAGGTGGTGGAGAATGTGGTGAACAGATTTTTTTTAGGGTTAAGATTCTTTTGCTGCTGCGCTGCCTAGCATATGTGTGACTCCGTCATTTCTTAGTTTTTGGTTTGAGTCTTTGAATTTGGTTTGAGTGTTTGCACAAGATATGGATACAGTAGTGTTGTCTGGGTGGTAACAATTCCAGTCAGGACCTTAGGAATGTTACCATTTTTGAATCCTATGCCCAGTGGGCATGAGTTTCAAGGACGGGTGAATGTGATTGTGTAAGCATTTTGTGGAGCATGGGTTGTTAGAGGCAAGTCAAAGCACACCATCAAACGAAAACGAAAACGAAAACGAAAACGAAAACCAAACAAAAGATGGAAAAGAAAGTAATAAACTGCCAAACCAGACTACCAAGCCAAATACATTATCTTTCGAATATGGTGCCCATTGGGCATGCTATTCAATAACCTTAACCCTATTACTTCAATGTACCTTAAATCCACATTTCTATGCAGTCATAGTTCATCTTAAGTACGTCTTGCCACCATCTACTTGAAGGCAACTTGCAATAAGTCTATAAAAAGCCTTAGTTTTCCAATGGCATGCTCTTACTATTATATCATCATGTATATTAATTAAATCTAAGTAATGAACATGCTTGCCTAAGTAAATATCCAAGTTTTGCCTATGTCACATTTTGGATAAAATGTATCTATATCTGAGGACTTTTATGCATTAAATAGGACACTTGCCTTTTTGGCTGGCTTTCTGCATTAAATTTCTCCAGCTACTAAGATACGGGTAATGCTCGATTCAGCTGAAATGCCAAAATGCTACAAAATTAGCTAAATACTCAAAATGATAGTTCTAGGCACCACATCACCAGACAGACCCACACGGGGTTGATAACTACTAATCATTGTGATCAATCAATCAACCTAGTAGACTAACTACCTTCATGTACAGGCAGTGCCCACGTCTACTTTGAGCTTCAGTTGCGAGGACCGAAGCCTGAATCGAATCGAATCGAATCTGCGTGTCCACATGAAGCTCGCAGTTTCCCTTGCAAGGTCTTTTAAAAGGTGAATTTCGGGCAACCTTGGCCTTGAAGAAAATGCAGGGCTTGCCTCAATACGGCTGTCTCAATTCTTGGCTCATTGCCGGTCACCTTTATCTGCAAGCTGGCCAGACCGAGCTAGCTAGTAGTACAGTAGGCTACTATCGGTACAGTACATGTATGCATCCAGTTTCACAACATGTACCCGAGCACCCTACCGTATGGTGCTGGTAGTACGGTACCCGATATCATTGTAAATCCTCGGGCGCGAGCAAGATAGAAGACACCGTGCGGTAGCGGTACTTGGAAGAAATCATGAAACATAGTCCAATACAATATATCACATTCCTTGAATGCCGGATCTCTGAAGCTTTTAATTCGTACAGTGCAGTGCGGTGGGTACAAAAATCATCAACGAAAATTGTCTGCAAAAATACTAAAAGACTGTCCACCCGCACTAATTCAGAAGCAATACTTCACAATACTGAAAGGGTTTGGGAGAAGTGTTCAGGAGCAGTGTTGGGCAGAAGAAGTGTTGGGCAGACTGAAAGTTTTCGGGAGCAGTGTTGGGCAGAAGTGTTCCCAAATTTGCAGAGGAATGCGATTCTCAGCTTGCCTTTTGAAAAACACGTATGCATTCAATTTAATCAGCCCATTAGGTATCACCGAAAGTAATTGGTTGGCTGAGGAGCTGGAGCTCCAGAACTGCATTGGAGAGATGTGGATAGTCCGCTCATTCCAGGGAGTAGCTACACTGTACTACTTGTACCGGCAGCTAGTATCGTACTGGACACTGATGTCGCATGGGGGGGCATTATCGTAGTACGGCGAGAAGGGGTTGTGTGGATCTCAAATTCGACATGAGAGGTTCTTGGCTGGTCTCCCAGCCATCTGATACCCTTGGTCAACCATAGAATTTCGAAACCAAGGCAATCCATTGTAGGTCTCTTTAATAAAAACGCTTGTTTTGCCTCTGCCGTACGCCAGCAAAATACCAGCAAAAGAAGATCCATCTAATTGTAATTGGAGAGAGAGTCAGACAGACAAAAAAGAAAGCCCGGGGCCTTATTCACGAAACAATGACGAAACTCGTGTGTGGATAATCACGCCCTGCCACGCAAATGCTGTACAAATAGTACGGAGGCACGAAAATTCCCCAAAGAAGATCCTAAAAGGAACTACAGTAGCATTTGAAAAGGTGAATTGCGTGTGCTATTTTAGGCATCTTTGACGATTATTGCATGCGTATAGAGCATCGTGGCGACGCCGTAAAGATTGATTTTTGCCACCAAAGGAGTGACGAAAAAGAGCCGAAGGGCTTGAGCTTGTTGGTATTCTCAAGATGTCACTCGTTTAAATTCCACCTCCTCCCAGGAACATGTTGACGCGTTGCTGATCAAAAAAGAGGACAAAAAGATGACGAAATGAGAGTGAGATGAACCGAGCCGCAATCCATCCACGGTCCACTACGGCATCCATCACGCACCATGATATAATCTTGTTCGGGATCGTAGGGATGTTCCTTACTGGGGATCTCCAAGACTGTAGGTATTGTTTGATTGTAGTCCTTCAGTACATGACGAATATCGTTGGCAATGTGCTGGTTGATGAGGATAATTCCGATGTCATTTCGCTGGGACAGCTTTTGGAAGGATTCCTCCACTTGCGTGAGCTGCGTGTCTTGCTTGACAATCAGAAAGTTGGATCCCTCGGCAGTTCGATGTCCTACTCCAGCCAACAGGAACCCTGTCACGGTATCCTCGTCACCGATCACTGCTACAAGCTTTCCGACGTCCATGGTTGTCTATCTTCTTTTGTTATTATAGTAGTCTATCTATCAATTGAGCAGCCGTCAAATGCAAGCGCCATGGAGCACATTTCTTTCGATCTTTTATATACATCTTCGTGGCTGTATATAAATTAGCGATTAACGGATGGATGGATTCAACACCGTAGAGCTGCTATTACATTCGAAGTCAAGTTGTCCTGTACAGTATACGACTGTACTCCTCTAATAAATCACAGGACAAGAGAACTAACTGTACCGTATGGCTGATGCTCTCAATGATGGCATGGTAGTAATTCAATGAACCAACTAGACTATAACACTCCAGCCAGCGGAATTTCAATGTCGATCTCAGCCAAGGGGGTAGCTAGCTACGTGGAACCACCCAGGTTTCTATCTGCACTGTAAATTCTTTTTTTCCAAAGGAGATGCAAGTAGAAGGCCTGCTCTGAAGTCTACGGGGACGTCAGAAGTACATGTAGAACGACCATTATCTGCAGCAATTCCAAGGAACGAGCTACTAGTATTGCACGGTAATAATCGTCTCCACGCACCTCTGTTCAGCAGATGGGAAGTGCTGGCTTTGGCAACAGTTTTGGTTGATCGTTCCAACCCCCTCGTTATAGTTCTAGCTAGCTACCTAGTTGTTGCTAACGTTGTCCAATGCAAGGAGACCTCTGCACGAAGACACAACTTGGGCACGTCGATCGTGGGCGCCCCTTCATGGAGCGTAGGATGAGGAAACAAGAGTATTCTCCCCAACCGAGGCTGCACTGCTTCCAAGACCTTTTGGGTCTTTGGTTCGAACAAGATCGTTTCCCCTCCAGCTTGGCAATCACGCAGATACAATAGCATGGTATGCGTCGACTGCAAACCAGTATCTTCACAAACCTTGTTTCCATCCGTATGAGGATCCAGTCTCCCTCCAACCTGGTCGTACTCCAAGAATCGCATATATGCCAGCACGTGAACGTGATATGACTGTCTCGAGTGGTGGTTGAGCGCAGTTTGGATTGCCTCTAGGAGTCCATCACGAATCCCAGGACATTGCTTGGCCGAAGAGAAGAATCGTCGCTTGCAGGTTGGACGTTTTGCGTCCAGTGGAAGGCTGAGCCGAAACTCATGGACGGCCTGCAAGAAATCGTCGGTTAATACATCGTCAATGATCCAGGCACTACCGGTGGTGCTGTGGGGTGGTTTGGATGATGTCGCCGATGAACCCTCGTCTGATACCGTAGTACCGGTACCAGTAGCTGGGGAGATATAAATCTGCTTGACTCTCATCATCATGGCCACCATCTCCAATGGAGAATTGTCACCAGTTTTGGTGGCTGCCATTGCTTGTGTTTCGTCAGATGATTTTTCATTTGAGGCAAAAGGGCGTCACGCATTCATTCGAAGTCAGGAACGACCATACCACGATGACAGCACCGCTTCCCGTCTGCTCAGCGAAGTTAAGCATCGTCGGGCCAGGTTAGTACTACGGTGGGGGACCACGTTGGAATCTCTGGTGTTGTTCTTTTCTTTCTGCGACGAAGGGTGCCTCTCTTTGTTGCTGCTGTGCTGCATGATGGAGGTCGAGGTGTGGCGTGTTGATGGTTGACACGCAAGGTCTCAGTTTTGTTGGGTTATGAGCTCAACTGCTTTGTTGGTGCCAACATGTCGTCCGGCTTGTTCAGGTTGCTGATGTCACGTCCAAGGAAACCACGGGCACGTTGGCACTCCTCCCATGAATGTGTCTTGGAATGAAAGCATGTTGTATGCATAGAAGAATCGAATTAGAGCATTGCTGCAGAAGTTGATGACTTGGAAGTTCCACAAAAATGCCCATGGCTGTCCTTGGAGCATTGAGACATGTGGTTTTTGTGCTGCTGGAGATGGCCAATGAATCCACTCCAAATCCCACACCTTCTGTGACTCGACACCTGCTCCTACCGGTATCCGTACATTAGGGTTTCCCGACCCAAACACAGTACCGATAATGATGACTGTGATGAAGGGTGGAGCGCAGTCCATTTTCCTCGGGGCTCCTGGGGAGGAGGCTGGTGTTTGAATAGTTTCAGTTGAGTGCGCTAGTTATATTTTTCAGCTTTAACTAAGGTCCAACACTCTCTGTCTTTGTGTCTGTCAGTGTCTTTGTCTATATCCTCATCATGAACATCCTCATAATGACCGTTATTTCCTTCAAAGAACTTTAAGCATCCACAACCAACACTTGGCCCGTAATAAAGCCGTCGACGGAACGTTCAAACGCTTTCCCAACAAGAGCACCAGGCACCGGCTGAAAGCCAGGCATCATTTCACCGTAGACCTCCCATGCCTCCTCCAAGACAGTCGGGTTGACCGAGTTGATTCGAATGCCGCGGGGCAGCTCATGGGCGACGCACTGAACGAAAGTATCAATGGCGCCACTGGTAGTGGCATCGGCAATGGCCGTGGGGATCGGTTTCTTGTTTAAGATTCCCGTAATCAAGGTGAAGGATCCGTTGTCTTTGATGTAGTCAAGGCCAATTTTTACCAAGTTGATCTGGCCCATCATCTTGCTGTTTACAGTTGTGCTCCACTGCTCCGTGGTCATGTCCTTCAAGTTGGCGTACTTACACATACCTGCGGTGTTGACGACTGCATCGAACTCACCCACAGCCTTGTAGAGCTCAGCGATCGAATTCTCGTCAGTGAGATCCACGTTGAAGTCGTATCCCTTGCTCCGTCCAGCAGTAATGACCTTATGCTTACCCAAACCTGTGAGGGCGGCCTTGCCCATGGTACCATTGGCTCCAATGAGGATGACAGTCTTCATTTTGTTTGCTTTGCTTACTTTGTTCGCTTGATAATTTGGTTTTCTCGTTTTGTGAGAAAGAGGGAACCGAGGCAAAGATGATGCCGGTTGATACATACCGTACTCTAGCTAGTACTGTGACCAAACAAACGAGAGTTTTGAGACGTCGAAAGAAGATCCGTCAGATTCCGTGAAGACTTGAAGCTCGGCATGGTGAACGTCGAAGGATTTAGTACGGGAGAAAACTATACAAATTTTCAGAGTACCTACGAGAGCACATCGCAGGAAGCTTCACTTTGCATCCGACGAGAAACCATGAAGGCTTGAAGCTCGGCATGTGACCGTCGAAGGATTTAGTACGGGAGAAAACTATACAAACTTTCAGAGTGCCAACGAGAGAACACCGTAGGAAGCTTCCTTTCTCGTCAATGATATCTGTCACTACTAACTGGTCTTGTTACGTGTTGCTATGCTGTCGTACTGTACTTGCTCCCTTGGTTCCCTTGTGGGTTCAATTCGTTCAGGAGTTACTGTGCAGATAGTGATTTGAAGAAGTCCACAGTTACTCGTAGGCCTCATCGCAGGGCCATCGCTCGAAGCTTCTGTCAGAACTGTGCAGCGAAGCTTCTGTCAGAACTGTGCAGGCAAGCTTATGCTTTTTAAACAAGGGTATAAACTCACTTGCCTAGTGAGTGCTGACCACTTGGAAGTTCTCAATACTAGTATAGCCCTGCTGATCATGGCTGTCGTTGCTGTGCTGCTGGAGGTGGCCACTTGAAAATCCAGACAGACTGTACCGGTACCGGTACCAGTACCAGTCCCTACTGAAGCGCAGAGGTTCGCTTTGTTCTAGAGCAAGCCGGTTCCGATCGAAGGTTCGCTTTGTTCTGCCCCAACTCTTCAAGTTCCCTTTGAATTTATCAATTACAACAGCTAGCTAGAGTCTAGCTAGCTCTAGCTAGCTAGTGGTAGCATAGAGAAGCTATACCGCGATCGTCCACCCCCAACTTTCTTTCCTTCCAATAAATAAAACAAGATGGCCCGTCGTAACCATAAGAAGTCTCGCAACAAAAAGAAGAAGAATGGTGCGCAGGCTAATTGCTCCGCTGCACCCGCAACCAGTGCGAGCAGACCTCCTCTGAGGAGTTTGTTGTCTGTTGAGGATTGTCCGGAACAAATGCCACCAGTGTTCGATTCCATGGTGCGCGAGAGAGATGTCGTGGGGCATGATGATATTTCCGGCGAAGATGCTCTGGACGCCTGGGCCGACAAGGTGCTTGATTTTTTGGAGTTTTCAAAGAAATGCGATGCCTGGCAGGCTACCCACGATGACGAAAATTTGGCACCGAATGCACCATCCACCCTCGGTGCTGCCAAGCCAACCACCACCAAATCATTTGCCCAGCCAACCGTAGGAGAAGCGGAGAGTGGGGCGAAGAAGCCAAAACAATAGCTGCCAAGGAAAACAAATTGTCCTGCACTCGATGTGGCAAGCAGGAGGATTTGGAGGGTGGGTGCAAAATCCTACGTTGTACGCAGTGCATGGTGGCAGGATATTGCAGCAAGGAATGCCAAATGATGGACTGGAAGACACACAAGAAACAGTGCAAAGACATGTTAATCGAACGAGTAGCAGCCGCAGTGACACGGAATTTTGCGGAGGACCCGGCTGTTCCAAATGACATTCCGAGACAATTCATTGTATTGCCACCCGATCTTACTGGATATTCCAAGGATGTCTTATTGATGATTGCCATTTGGGATTTTGAAGAGATCATGGCGACCCATGTGCCTCGGCGTGTCTTTGACACTGTGGTTGGGTGCATCAAATTGTTTTTCGAAAAGGTGAAGACACCTGGTTCCTTGGTATCTGAAGAGGAAATTGCTGATATGTGCACTGATGGAACCATGCTGTTCAAGATTGGTTACCCAGGTGTTCGCCTGGCTAGTCAAATGGAAATCAATTCGGAAGATGGCAACTTTGCTTTGGATTTTGCAAGCCAGACCCAAATCCCCAGAGGTTACCAGCTGGACCCACGAAAGATGCTTGGTGCCCCAGCTCATGTCATCTCTATGTGGGAAAGTGCCATGGACGAATTCCGTCGGGATAATGGCGAAAAGGATTGTGATAAACCTTTCTGGGAAGAGCGCCCCTGGTAGAAACTTGCAGTGCGTCCCGCCAAAATCCAACATCCCAGTGTGGCCCCCACATCACCCATCGACAGTACTACCGGTGCTAATCCACCAAAAACAAAGCTACATACTAAACGAAACCTAGTAAAAAGCCTACTAGTAATGAGATAACCAACAAAAGATCGACCTGAGAAGCAAATGATTTGCTTGGGACTTATCCAGCTAGCTAGTGCCGCTTGCTTGCATCTCCACTCTGCCTGGATTGCTAATATCCAGTAACTACCGGGCTCCAACCCAAGGAGGTTTTCGTTGTGCCTGGTGGACTGGTTGGGGGCTCGTAATAAGAGCCTGAACCAACGAATCCAAGCCAATTAAATGAAATCACTCTTCAGCAGCAGCTGCTTCTTCTGTTGAAGTTTCTTCTGTGGCTTCTTCTTCTGCTGTTGTTGCCTCTGTTGCTTCTTCTGTTGTTGTTGCTGCTTCGGTTGTTGCAGCTGCTTCTTTTTCTTCTGTTGCTGCTTCTGTGGCTTCTTCTGTCGTTGTTGCTTCTGTGGCTTCTTCTTCTGTTGCTGCTTTGGTGTCGGTTGCTTCTTCCGCTGTGGTTGCTTCTGTTGCTTTTGCTTCTGCTTCTTTTGCTGCTCCTGCAGTATCAAATTGAAACTTGACTCCCGAAATCTCTTCGCTTTGTTTCCAAAGCAACTCTCCCAAGGCTGGATCCGTAGCAAAGCCTCCAAGTGTTTGCAATTTCATACCCGTGTAGTAACCACCACCGACAAGATTATCTGTGGTACTGGCCAAATACACTTGTGTGTTGGCTCCTTGTGCGGGTGTCAGCAACAAGCCCAAGGATGTTGAAATTGGAACCAATGTCTTGCTGAAGAAATTCTGCAGTGGTTTGTAGGATGTTATTTGTCGTGCCAGGTCGGTGGCCACCGTCCCGGGATGCAAGGAGACGGCAGTGTAGCTGGACCGCGCGTTCAATTGAGAGGCAAAGTAGACATTGGCCAGCTTACTGTAGCCATAGCTACGAACGGGTATGTAGGGTTCCGGTTTCCAAGCCTGGTCCAATTTGAGTCCGCCGGTGTAGCTGGGGAATGTGTGGGCCAAGCTGGACACGACAACAATGCGTGCATTCTCGTTCAAAAATGGTAGTAGCGATGCCGTCAAAACAAAATGTCCCAAATGATTGGTATGCATTTGCTGTTCCACTCCCAAATGACTCATTTGCAGTTTGGCGGGTGCCATGATTCCGGCATTGAGCATCAAAACGTCAATTTTGGTGGGTATCTGCCATTCGGCGGCGGCCTTTGTGGATTCCAGTTGGTCCAATTCTAGAATTTGGTAGGATACGTCGACGGTTCCATCATCGGTACCAGTACAATAGTCTTGAATATCCTGTACGGCCGTTTGACCCTTGGTATCGCTCCGTGCCGTGATGATGACTTTGGCTCCTGCTTTGGCCAACCGCTTGGCGGATTCGAGGCCCAAACCGGTCGTTCCGCCAGTGATCAATACAGTTTTGCCGTGCATGGGAGGCGGGATAAAGGCACCCATGTTGGCCCGATGAGCCAACACGGCGACCCCTGCCACGGCAGCAGCCGCTGCAAGGAGACCCACTGTCAGACTAGCCATGTTTTTTGGTTTGGAAAAAGTAGAACAAAGAACTTCTGGTTTATGCTTTCGTGGATTGGATTTTGTGCGGAAGCTTTGGTGGGTCTGAAATGGATTTGTGGGGATGCTTTTGGATCTTTGGATCCCGGTAGTCTATCTTTGGGGTTTGCGAACCCGGATCTTTGGATCTTCCATCGACGTCATTTTCTCAGAAAAGATCGCGACAAAGAAATGCCAATGATGTCTCAATTCCACCACCCACGCTTCTGCGGATGATGTCCATAGGATGCTAATGACTGCTACAAGTTATTAGTACTTTGCTATTGGTATGTGACAGACATTCTTATTTGAATAGATCAGGCCAAGAACGAAACAGAGAAGAAAGAAAGATGCAGTCAATAATACACTTTGCCATTAGTGCGTTGCTTCTACTACTAGTACTGCAATGCCCATCATCCGTCACAGCCTCCACTTGGGTCATGCCCGAATCGAGCTACCCCAATCCGTTCTGGCCCAGTGGCGCCAATCCCCGCGACGTGGACGCCTTGGTAGACTTGGTCATGAAGGACAAGACCATCAATCTACGCGCCATTCCCGACCGCTTTGAACGTCAACTCTACAAATCCACCATACTCACGGCCGTCAATTGCTTTTACGAAAACTTGGCATACTATCATGGCAGCCAGGTCATGGGACACGAATTGCGATGGATTCGACTCCCCAATCGACGCGCTAGTTTGCAACGACAGTATGAAATTGCCGTGCACGAAAATCAAGACATTGACGAACGTCTGCTGGAAGAAACTGCTGCACGGTTATTGGACAATCAATCCATCAATCAACGATTCTTGCCGGATGCCCTCGAACGAAAACTATACGTCAATTGTCTCAAAATTACCTTTCGCGTACTAGCACTACTGGCAGGATCTATCCGCGTCCGATTGTGCGGACACGAATTGTCCATGGACTTGTCCAAAGTCAGCAAACCCATTCTGAGCAAATCCGTGCAACGGGCCAAAATAGATCGCGCGTTGGTACGTCAATTGGCGGAAGATGCCGTCGTCAAACAACAACGAAAATTCTTTTTGTTTTTCTGGAAGGAACCCTTGCAAGAACTCAAGATTAATCTACATGCCAGTCTCTACGCACTGCTCTTGGCCATTACGGATGATTTGCTCGCCAACTTTTCCATGGAACTTCTCTCCGATCGGATCAGTTTGGATTTGGCACCCAGTAAATTGAATAAGAAAAAGAAGAAAGAGGAAGATGAGGAAAGCAAGCAATAGCCGGATTATTATAGTTGCAGTGCGTGATGCCATGAAAAGATTGACGAGTGGTCATTTTGGATATGATTGCGGTTACGAGGTACTGGCTACCGGTACCAGGTACTGTAGCTAGTAGAATAGAGTCGCAGTGAAAGACAAGATCCCAAGAAGGAGGCCACGTTAAAGTAGTCTAGCCTTACTCATATATATAATTTTCGATTCCGGTGCCTAGATAGGATTAGTCAGACTGAAAAATGCTGAAAGCTCCACTGATATATCATCCTTCTCGATTCTCCACCAGTAGACTAGCTCTTCATTCATTGTCAGTTCTCATCCATCCGCCGCTACCATGTACGAACTTCTAAATTCTAAACCTTCCAACCAGGCTCGACTCTACAGTATTCAAACCAACCCTCCCCCTCCATCGTTGTCAATGCGATCATCTGTTTTGACACGACCAGCTGTTACTGGTGACTGGTGACGCGAGGATACACCTACCGCGAAGATCGCACAGCGAACTGGTACCACCCGGGACAGCGTACCAATCATTTCACTGGTTCAATATGACTTCCGTCGAACTTCCATGGACGATGCTCTTTATATCCTTAGTCGATGATCCAAAAGAAATGTTCCAAAATGGCATAGAGATCAAGACACCCTTTAAAAACCCCAATACCCCAATTGCCAAAATCTTTTTCAGCAACCCAAAGCTGTTGCGTACGACGTACGAGCACTGTTGTTGTTGGAGATCTTGGGAAATCATTCTTCTCCCCTTCTCCAATTCACAATCTCCACAAAGCAGTTTACGAAGTATTGAAAAGCAATGAAACTCTTCTTCTCCCTTCCAACGTTAGCGCTCGTTGCTGCTTTGCCCATGGCTGAGGGTGCGGTCATTGGTAACCAAACTGACCCTGGATCCTTCTGGGCTATCTACCCCGATGGCGGTGCTGCTGCTGAGTGTGTCATGAATCCAGGCACCAAAGTCGATGACTCCTGCTGTGCTGCCGTGACACCACAGCCTGTCATGTCCAGCATGTTTTTTGCTGACTGCTTTTCCTTTGGCAATGATGAGCAGACCCGGGCCTATCGCGGATGTACAGAGGAAGGGATGGCCATCTATGGTGAGGGCTGCGATACCGGCACGTCCTTGAATGGGACTGTGGAAGAATGTGGCTGCAAGTTTACTGTACTGGGCACGGGATGCCACAAAGCAAATGATTTCCCCGATGATCCCCGGCAGTTCTTTGTCTACTTGGATAATTGAGTGGAAGACGATATGATGGATGAAGATGTTGCTTTACCCATGGCTGAGGGTGCCAGCGATGTCATTGGTGACCAAACTGACCCTGGATCCTTCTGGGCTATCTACCCCGATGGCGGTGCTGCTGCTGAGTGTGTCATGAATCCAGGCACCAAAGTCGATGACTCCTGCTGTGCTGCCGTGACACCACAAGCCTGTCATGTCCAGCATGTTTTTTGCTGACTGCTTTTCCTTCGGCAATGATGAGCAGACCCGGGCCTATCGAGGATGTACAGAAGAAGGCATGGCCATCTATGGAGAGGGATGCGATACCGGCGCGTCCTTGAATGGGACTGTGGAAGAATGTGGGTGCAAGTTTACTGTACTGGGCACTGGATGCCACAAAGCCAACGATTTCCCCGATGATCCCAGGCAGTTCTTTGTCTATTTGGATGACATTGAGTGTGAAGACGATATGATGGATGAAGATGTTGCTTTACCCATGGCTGAGGGTGCCAGCGATGTCATTGGTGACCAAACTGACCCTGGATCCTTCTGGGCTATCTACCCCGATGGCGGTGCTGCTGCTGAGTGTGTCATGAATCCTGGCACCAAAGTCGATGACTCCTGCTGTGCTGCCGTGACACCACAACCTGTCATGTCCAGCATGTTTTTTGACGACTGCTTTTCCTTCGGCAATGATGAGCAGACCCGGGCCTATCGAGGATGTACAGAAGAAGGCATGGCCATCTATGGAGAGGGCTGCGATACTGGCGCGTCCTTGAATGGGACTGTGGAAGAATGTGGGTGCAAGTTTACTGTACTGGGCACTGGATGCCACAAAGCCAACGATTTCCCCGATGATCCCAGGCAGTTCTTTGTCTACTTGGATAATATTGAGTGCAAAGACGATATGATGGATGAAGACCATGAACATGACCGTGACGACCACAATGAGACATCTTTGGATGAAAATACTCAATCAGAAGATGTCAGTATGGGCTTTGACATCAGCAGGAAATTGGTGGCAGCTCTTGTTGGATCTGTCATTCTTGCCGTCTCCTGCTAAGCTTATAAAACATCTTGTTGTTGTTGCTAAACTACTGCTGAGTATCTGCTAGATCTTGACATGATTCCATTTGATGCTTCTGCTACCCTCCTAATATTCGCAGACATTGTTTCTACTGTACAAATTGATGGCAAAGCAGCACATTCCTCTTCGAAATCCCCGGAGAATTGTAACGGGGACGAAGAGTTTAGCTAGCATCCAGACAGAAGCAGAGAGGGCCAAATTGACAAACCAACAACAAAGATCTGTGTGGCCTTACACTCTCCTTTATTGAAGGCAGGTTCGATTTTGGAGGCATCCTCCGTTGTTGAGTTCATGAGGTTAAAGCCCGGTAGGATTCACTTTCAGACTCCTCTTCAGAAGCTCACAATATTTTGAAGAGTCCACAAGCAAGAAGGTTGGTTGTAGCAATAGACTACCTTAACCTCCAAACAAATGGTTGCCTTTCGAGATTCTTCGCAACCTGACTGCATTCATGAGGAAGTCAGGCATCCATGAGACATCTCGTGTTGGTTGGTTGACTTGCCACCCGCACAGTACAGTCCATTGCAGGATCTGACAGGGTTGGCGAGACAGAATTCAATCATTAGACTGGCAATTCCGATTTATTCGATTGAGATTCGATTCGATCTTCTGATTCAAAAAGCAGTCGGATTTGTTAAATTGAAGAGCCTTTGTAAAATTGGGGCTTTATGGTCATCATTTCAGGAAAAACTTCTAAAAAGGGAACCCATAATCTTTTCGGTGTTCTGGGTACCGGATGATCGCCAAAGCATTGGTAGTTATTTATTTATTATATATTGGTGCTGCCTCTCATTTTGACCTTGACCGTTGCATCCCCTTCTATCTCGCCATAACGCACAACAACATGCAACGATGAAACAAGTCTTCTTCTCCCTCCAAACTGTTGCACTTGTTGCTACATTGCCCATGGCTGGAGGTGCCGGCCATGTTATTGGCAGCCAAACAGATCCTGGTTCCTTCTGGGCGGTTTACCCTGACAGCAATGCCGCTGCTGATTGTATGGTGGATCCAGGCACCAAAGTTGACAACTCTTGCTGTGCCGCATTGACACCACAGCCCATCATGTCCAGTATGTCTTTGGATGAATGCTTTGCTTTTGCTTTTAACGAGCAGATTCGGGCCTATCGAGGATGCACGGAGGATAACCAGACAATCTACGGCGAATTCTGCCTTGCGGGTCCCCCCTTGAATGGGACTATGGAAGAATGTGGTTGCAAGTTCACGCTACAGGGCACTGGATGCTACAAAGCCAATGATTTTCCTAATGATCCCCGGCAGTTCTTTGTCTACTTGGACGATATTGAGTGCGAAGACAATAAGATGGACGAAAACGGCGAAGACGGAAACACGGACCACCAAGACGAGGCATCTGATGAAGACAACCACCCGGTTGGCGTCAGTGTAGCTTTTGGCAAACACAGGAATGAGGTGGTAGTCATTGTGGGATCTGCCATTTTTGCCTTCGCGTGTTGGGCTTTTTAAACTTAACTCGTGTTGTGCCAGATATTGCCGTGATCCGTTCTGTGTTTCTGTCACCCTCCTACTTTTAAAACAGTTGTTCCTACATGATGTACTGGCAGTAATCCGTAGACCTCTTCGAAATCCTAGCCGCATTCATGCGGACGTCCGAGGTCAAGATAGTGTCGATTCGATGATTCCGTCGCACCCAGACATGTACCGTACTGCAATAGGATTGCATGCGATACAGACTCCTCCCTTGCAAGTTGGCGACAGGTTGCCTTCTAGTAGGGACATAAACCGAATGGGTCTAAATTCCGCAAAGGAAACAAAAACAAAAACAAAAACAAAGGTCAAAGCTGCGTTTTCTGCTGCCCTATGGCAAATACCCGGAAAGTCGGACCACGAATCGGAGTACACTTGAAACAAATTCCCTCATGCTCGTTTTCTTTGGTGACGGGTCTGTGTGTGTTTAAAGGTGTGTGTGTGTGTTGTGGCCGCAGCGGAAACATCGATGTCGCTGGTTAGTTGCTCGTTTGCCCGCTTCGTCCTGCTCTACCGTATAGCTGCAAGCTGTTGCTCTGAAAACAGCTACATGTCCAAGAGAGGGGAAAGTCATTGGAAGTCCATCCACTGCATCCACTGCACCCAGGCATGTTCCGGAACAAAAGTGGGGTGACAGCTGATACAGACTCCATCGTAGACAGCCTCGTTGGTTATGGGCCTCGTTTCGGAGAAAGAGACTGCGTGTGTCCTCATTCCGCACTGGTCGCAAAGACCTTCGAGCAGGGCTATGGCTACACGCAGTTGTTCCGCATCTTCCCGCTCCCTAGCAACTTGTTCCGGGGTACACGTGAGCGGAGCAAATGCCCGGCTTTCACGACGTAGCGTATTGCCCTTGCGTTTGTCGTGTTGATGCTCAAAACGTTTGACAAATTCGTCGATTGTCTTGTAGCCCACACCGTTTTCAATAACGTTGCGGATAGATCGCTCGTCAAGAGGGTCGCTACAGGTAGCCTTTTCGGACGACACAGAGCAGTCCATGACGGCAAACTTGAGTTTGGTAGGAAAGACCGGCACGCCGATGGTAACGGCAATGTAGAGCTCTAGGCAACACCACAACCGCGAGTAAATGTTTTGGTGCATCGTGGGAACGACCAGCATGAAACCACACGACATGTTTGGTTTGGATTGATTGCCGCTCTTGTGGAACAAATGTTCCTTTCGAGCCTTTTCAATCTCGCTCACATCTTGATTGCTGACCCGCAGAACTCTATTGTTCTTGAAATTGTGGAAAATCTCGACGAAAGGCCCCCGCTTTGCATTCCTTCCCAGTTGTTGTCGGATGGTGACTCCATGGGCTATATTGTCATTCTGATAAAGACTCAGAAAGCAGACAAACAGTGGCGTGTGTGGGTCGACGACAGCCGTTTTCAGCGCAAAGAAAAACTCTAGGATTCCCTCGTACCAGCTGTGGGAGACCATTATTTCCACTTGCAATGGCTTTTGCTGGTTGATCAGCAACGCATACCCCATTTCTTTTTGAGCAGTCTTTGGGATAATTTGCTCCTTGACAAAAACATAGACAGAAACATCATCGCGTAATGGCGAACAGATGTCTCTCGTTGCTGCCCCTTTGGACGAATCGGGTTTTAAAGCATCTGCATCAGGCGGATCGTAGTCGGCATGTGGGAGAAACCCGGTGTCCACGAGCAGTTGTCCAATCTGGCAAAGAGTGATCCCCCAAAATGGCGCCCGAACTCCACCCTTTTGAGGTTGACCGCCGAAGCCTTCCGAGAAACCAAGGAGATGAGCCTCGTCGCTGGCAACTGTGAGAATCCAGTCCTCTGACGCTGGTTGTCCCTTCAAGGTTTGGAATCGGACGATGCGTTCTCCCATAAAACATCCATCGATTTCCTCTGATGCGGAAGAAGGGAGCCGCCCAAATCCAATGGTTTCATTGGGACCTAAGATGATTTCGTCCCACCAGTCCATTTTACGCCTTTTGTTCTGTATCCATTTTTTAATATTCCAGGTCCGAAAATCACAGCTGTATGAACGGTGTGCTCGATGCACAGATCGGCAGTGTTCGTTGACGACAACACGATCATGGTCCCACCAATTGGCGCCATGACCAATGAATGCTGGTGCAGATAATCTTTCATGATTCGGTGGACCAAGCAAGCTGGCAGCCTGCTTGGATGCCTCTGAGCCAGATTGCAGGGCAAATCCCAGTGTATGCTCTCCTTTACCTCTCGGTACCAAGTGGTGTCTTTTGCTAGCGCTCGAGAATCCAAATTCATTGTTACAAAATGCTTGCGTGCTAGCTTCCATACTGTTGAGGAGGCATATGACACGGAGAGGTTGGGCGGTCACATTTTGAAAAACCATGACTGTTCCATCCGTGCGTAGGTGACAGCGCTCCTGATTGCACTGGACCAATCGTTCCCTGTTTGCCCGTGGTGGTGGTAGTTCAGCAATATCCTGGGCGCCATCCGAAGCAAATCTCCCTTCTTCCTGTTGCAACCAACTCGCTACATTCTCGACGATTTGTGTCAGTCCACAAGATATATGCCAGTCGTTGGCAAAGAATGGAATGACATCCCACAAAGGCGAAGGTCCACTTCTTCCGAGTTTGGGATGGTGTGGATGGTCCACCAAAAGTACCTGGGGTGACTTGAAGGGGTACTTTTCCCTGTAGCGAATGTCAATGGCCCATTTGCGGGTTGTTGTGGACAAGTCCACCCTTAGCCTTCCTGTCGCCAGAAAGGTTTCCTGCGACTCGGGTGGGAAAGTGGCCAACTCTGCCACAGAGGACTTACTACAAAAGTCGTTTAGCTCCTTTTGAAGGCGTCTCTTGCACATGTTGCTGGTGGGAGCTCTGTTGGATAATGGAGTGCATCAGGAAAATGAAGCAGAGAGGAGAGAGGAAAGCCGACAGTCCGTAAGTTTTCCAGCTCCGATTATCGTTTGGCCTCTAGCTAGTACAAAGCCTACCGTACCGACGCACCACTAGCAGTACCGATACGTCAAGTTAAGGCTTTGGATACGGTCCCGGGTACCGCTAAAGGTACGGTCCCGGTTACCGGAACCGGTGCCGTGCCAGTATCCACGTCTCAATATCAGTTGTTTGTACGTGGAGCAGTAAAAACAAAAAAATGAGGGGTTGATTTTCTTTTTTCCAAAAACGACGTCGCAGCACATTACTTGGACCCGGACCACCAGTACTGTACAACTACAAGTGTAACTCAACAGCCGCCATTGCTTGTTGGTTGTACGCGGTTACTGCCACCAACATGGCGACCAATTCATTCCACACCCGTTGATTTCTTCTGGCCTGACAAGTGATATTGTTGCAGAGCAGATACTGTGCTTCTTGGATAGGAGCTGAGAAACTGCCTGGCTGTGGACGAGCTTTGCCAGCAGAATCACCTAAAGAACTACTTTTGCACTGGTCATGGTAGCAAGCTGGAATCCCAAACGAAGCTTCGCAAAGCGCTCCACAAAGAGATAGTGGACAGCCACAGGGGGAGTTTCTGGGGGAGTCGCTATACCAAGACTGTGTGTCGCAGTTATCAGCGAAAGCGATTGGAGTGCGCAGATGCGCAGATTGTATTCACAATGTTATAGGCGAGAAGCTACCGGCGGGCAAGAAACTTCGTTGCCAGCAATACTGTGATAGGTTCGTGTGGAAGCACGAGTTGAAAGAGTGCGGAATATGCAAGGAAACAAGCTGTAAGGACATGGAAACCTGTCGTACCATTGGGAAGTGCGATTTTTGTCCTCGAGGTTTCGACGGCGTGTGCGCCAATTGCTCACCAAGTACCGGTACGTTTCACCGCGAAAAATGCCTCAGTTTACACATCCGGTATGTGGTCACCTGGAGCCTGCACACTGCTCTATTTGTCACATTGGAATTGGATGTCGAAATGCGGACGATGTGGAGCGATGTTTTCGCGAGGAGGCCTCGTGGTCATTCAGTTGCAGTTCCTGCCAAAACGACTTTTGCAAGGATTGCAGGAGAATTTTTTTTTGTTCCATGTGTGAGACTTCGTTTTGTTGCGGTTGCAGGGAATATTTTGTTTGTGATTGTTGTTCCAGCGACCATTGTCTTTCCCATGGAGATCCCGCTACGTGGGAGTATCTTGGGCATGGGGACGAATTGGATGAGTACCGGCATGAGAAATATTCATACGGCATGTGCTACTGTGTCGACGAGTTGGCTACAGAGTTGTGTGCGGCGTGTTGCGTCAAAGCTGGTCTTTGTCGAATTTGCCCCCCTTGTGGATTCGGGCTCTGTTGTTTGGCCTGTGATCGTGGTTTTGAATTCTGCAGCTGCACGGGTGTGTCACGATATACACCATAAACCGACCCCTCGAGAAAAGGCAATTCGACGACACAGCTACAGTTCAAGTCGTCCGTCATGGGTACCAAGAAGAGTACAGAGAAGCTCATCTCTTTGAAAAGTATGCACCGGCATAGATTCCGGAACTTAATGAAGTGGACTTGAGCTGAATACCTGGCCCAGATCTACTTTGAAACTGAAGCCCCTCGCATAAGCTAAACAGTTGGTCTTAGAACTTACGGATCCACAAAGAAGTTGTTTCGTGACGAGAGAATGGATCACATCTTTGGGAAGGTGAAAAATAAACTTGTTTGGATGACCCAGCCACCGCATTGAATGATTGACTCGTTCAAGGAATACCGAATTGATCGATTTGCCAATCACCGAGGCAAAGGAAGTTGCGATTTTGGAAGGTTCGCAAGAAACTGTGAAGATTCACACTCGATTGACGAAGCTCGCATCGTTTGGTTGCTTCATGGGCATAGGCATGCTATGCGGATTGTCGAAACATGCATTCATTTCATCATTCATGACCAGCCATGTTTTGCCCATTGACCGCTCTTCTGCGTTTGTCGTTTTGTGGAACAGAGATGTTGGATGGAGGGCAAGATTTAGCGGCCACCACCCATCTCGATGCCGCTCCAAAGTTCAACTCGGAAACCAGCACATCTACTCGAATATTCTGTCCAGGATATCCTTCGACACCAAATGGATCCAAAAAGGACTTTGAAAGTTCCAATAACCCCTTGTAAAATAGCGTGAGCAGTCCCGTGAGTGGAATGGAAAGACTTCCCATGCCACTGTAGAGCGAAAAGGGCGCCAGTACCAGCAAACTATCGACCAGGACCTGGACCAAATGCACGTATGCCAACGGCATGCGTCCCGAATACAGATCCCCGAGATTAAAGTATTCCCCTCGCAGCATTGTGAGTTGTCGCAGTATGTTTTCCTCCAATCCATTGTTGGGTTTGCCACTACTACCGTGGCCCAATAGTTCCAAATCGAGTCCCTCCATAATGTAGAGACCTACCCATTCCATCAAAACATATGTGTATTGTGTGGGTGGTAGTCCCGATTCCAATAAGGCATCGGCTTCCTCGTGCGTCAATTCTCCCACATTGGCCAACCCTCGGAGTCCTTCGGGAGTGAGCAGCATGGGTCCGAATTCGTGTTCCTCCACATTTTGAGGGGCGTGATGTTTGTCCTTCCCATCCGCCAAACCATCGGAAACAGTGGGAGTTGCAGCCCAGAAGAAGGAATGACTGTATTATATTACCAAAAGCAAGCAAAAACCAAATGGCGCAGGATGGGTTGTTGTTGTTGTTGATCAGAAGCAAGAATACCACAGTATGTTCTCCAGACAGCACAGGCAGACAGCATTATCATTATAGACTCACCTTTTTCGAATCAGCCGTGTCACCCGTGCCACCAACTCTTGCGACGCTTCCGAGTTGGCATATTCCTTATTGACGCCCATGGTGACCAGCATGCAGATATCATTGATCCGTCCTTGAATGGCTCGTGTCGTAAAGTATACCGATCTCCAATGTTTGTAGGCTTCTGCCGTGAAGAATGTGAGAATAAAGGTCGTCAAGGTAACCTGATAATCCCACACGGCATTCAATCCGGCCAATTGTTGAATCACGGGATCCTCCGAAGGTGGAATGGCCAGAAGCGGCCACGAGGATTCCGACACGGAATGGACAAACCGATCCACACCAATGCCCACCAGCATGTTGAGTACGACGGGTACAAATGCCAACGATAACACGGTGCCACGCCATTGCGACCACAGCCAGAGTGCATCGGGTTCGTACTCGCGCATCACGGGTCGATTGGCCTTGTCACTGACAGCCCAGGATACCAAGGTTTCCAGTTGCCCTTGCTTCCAGCCGGGGGACGATGGTTGTCCGGCAGAGTAGGGCGTGCCATTGTTATTGTTATTACGTTGACGCCGGAAATTAGTAATACTACCATTCGGTGGTAATGTACTACCATTTGGTGGTGGGAGACTGGAATGCAGTTGCCAATGATAGTTTCTTCCAGATTGAGGATGATGTTGAGGATGTGTCGTTGGGATAGAATATCGATACGGGGGTATCCTTGACGGCAGAGAAAACGAGCTTGCTCGGATAGCAAAAAGAAGGCATGCTGCCAGGAATCGGTATCCCAGGGCAGTGGAAGGATATCGGAGGTACATTCGTTTTGGACTGCTCATGGTTTTTCTAAAGGTAACGTTATTACGACGGAGGATCGCTTCGACCTATTCCCAAGCCATCAAATCATCGCTTTGATCATTGCGGCGATGGCAGCTTCCGGCAGTTGGCTTGGCATCGGAACATTTTTGCCGAGACGTCAGTGCTGTCATTGTTGATGCCAACAAATAATACAGCAAGACAGTGAAAACATAACGTTTTATAGCTTTGACGATCGACGAAGTCTCTGATCTTTTGCTGCTCGCCATCATGATGGGAATCGTACCGGTACGGGTACGCCGCCGGACAGCCAGCAGATATTCAGAGATATGCAAACTACCGGTACGATTTATATCAGTATATCGATCAATGCAACTCAGTTCCTCCTCACTAAGTTTTGAGAACAGGGGGGAAACCAACGCTTTCTGTGTATCATTATGGCTCCCAAATGCATCCATGCGGGACGTCCTGCTTCCTTGCAATGGTATTGCCACCGAGGTGCCTGCCCTAGAGGTGAGGAATTCTGACGCCGACATTGAAAGATCGCAGACCAGCCACTTGCCTGGATCGAACCCATGACCTCATGCAGATTGGCCATGCTCTTCAATGCTACCACCACCATGCAAGCTGCCAACAGGGACCAACAATAATAGGCTACGCTAAACAAAATTAAGAGAAACTCTCATCAGCAGCCAAATCAAATCCAGAGTTACCAAAATGCCTCTGTTTGAGTCTGCTACACTAAAGGTGGCCAAAAAACTTCCACAGCACAGCACAAATGGTCCACAGCACAGCACAAATGGTCCAAAAGAAGCCACATTGGACATTATGGGAATCGAACCCATGACCTCATGCATATTAGCTCATTGTTGCTAAGCATGCGCGCTGCCAACTGCGCCAAACGCCCGATGGTGTTTTTCCTTGCTTCTGACATCTAGGCTGACACCTGGGTTTATTACCCATACCTCTGACATCCATAATCCCTCCCATTCATGTCAAAAATGAAATCATTGTTGATTGTCCTTTCATCCCCCATCCATCCCAAAAGACACGATTGTTGTTGGAGCTGGTGTTTTCCTTGCTTCTGACAACTTGGCTCACACCAGACTTTATTACCCACACCTCAAACATCCATTCTCCTTCCTTTTCATGCAGAAAATCATTGTTGATTCTCGCTTCATTGCCCGTTCATCCCAACACAACTGGATTGTTGTTTCAACCTTTTCCTTGCTTCTGTCACCTTGGTTCACACCTCACATTGTCAACGACACCTCAACGATCCATTCTCCTACCCAGTCATGCCGAAAATGAATGTTGGTACGGTTGTGTCATTCCCCGTGCCACCCAAGACAACTTGATGGATATTGGAGCCATTTTCCTTGCTTCTGACATCATGGCCGACAACTTCTGGGTTCCGTGCTGTTGCCACCAGAGGGGGACTTGTACCCGTAGGTTGAAGAAACAATTTTCTTTGCCTGAACTCGCACATGATTCCAGAATACATCTGAAACCCTAGCTAGTCATGCAACATCACCGTTCTCTTGGAGAAACCCAGATGTTGCCTCCTCACCAAAAGAGAGCCACCACATTTCCTTTGCCGGGATTGCCGAGAGGAACGCACTGCAGGATAAAATGGTAGAAACAGCATTCCTAGCCACCACTGCCTTGCACTCATCCCACCGTCGAATCACGCTTTCCTCTCTCAAGACACCTGTCTCCTTTCGGCCGTTTCGTTGCTCTCAACTTGTCACGGCGATACCAGACGCCATTGCGGCTTGACCCGTGGCATACCATGCACTAACAACCCCATTGCAGGGTTGATTGCATCGCGAGGGTATCCGTCCTCTTGACAGCGCGGTAGCAATTTGAGTGTTTCTGGAGATTGAAGGTATCCACGCAACATACCGTCTGCACCGCGGCGATGGCTTCCAACCAACAAAGATAGCACTTCCAACGAAGTATCGCTGAAGAACCGATCGCCAGCTATTATCCTCTGCTGCGCGTAGTCGGTCCGTCGCTGTCGGTGGTGGTATGACCTCGAAAGTGAAGTAGTGCCTATTCATTTCATGTTGGTTCTGTGTGTGTAAGGCAATTTTTACATTTGCCCCACAGCCAACTATACGACCAACACCGAACAAACCAAACCAAAGGTAGCGTACAAACCAAACCAAAGGTAGCGTGTCGTGGTCGGGCAGGTAATTTTGGTGAGAATGTCGAAGGAAATTCTAAAGAGGTGAGCTTCGTTGGCGGAGATTTTTGTTTTCCTGACTCAGAAGAAGAATTGAGATTGTTTCTTTGAACCCTTGCTGCCATTATGACTCTACAAAGTTGGCAAGCTGGCTACGGTAGCTACTAGCTAGTAGCTAGCTAATCAAAGTTTGCGAGGAAGAAGAAAGAGACAACATCATTTGTTTTCTGTTGCTGTCATTGGCGGCAGAACCAGAACGAAAAGAAACGGCCATCTGGCCACTGGATCTTTCCACGCACGAATGAGATCTTTTCTTCTTCCTGCTGGTACCTGGTACCAGGACGGTTAAGTAAAAGTTGACTTTTGGGAAAATGGGGTTTTCGAAAGGAAAAGTGTTGAAGTTTTGAATTGTTAGATTTAACAGCACTGAAACTGTTGAAATTGGTTCAACACTGTTGAATATCCTTTAAACACTAATTCAACAGAGATTTAACATTTTTCAACAGCGATTCAACACATATTCAACAACTTCCACACTTCCACTGACTATAGATTCAACAGTAATTCAACAGGGTTTCAACACGATTCAACACTTATTCAACAGTTTTTCAACAATTATGAACCTCTTTTCAACACTTTTCAACAAGGGTGAAAAGTAGACAACTTGTTTAAGAATAGGGGAACCTTCAAGTCCAGTTTACCCAAAAATCCAACTTTTTCCACTTTTGCTTAACCGTCCAGGTACCACTCCACTGGCAACTTCTACAGCGGGCGGAGGGTGATTGCTTCCGTTTGATCAGTCTCATGGCATCCACATCAAAAGCCATTCAGAACTTAGTTTTGTGCTTCCATTGTACCAGCATTATCTGCTGAATTGAAGGGTAGCATTGCACTATCTGTTGAATTGATCGGTGCCATGCCAGACAAGATGGAGGGAGACAAGAAGGTAGACCCGACGTGGACCGAAGAGCCACCACAAAAAGAAGACCCAGAACCACCCACAAAGCAAAAGGAAGAAGAAGAACCGCCCAAGCAGAAGAAACAAAACGATGTCCTGGTCATTTCAACTCGCATTCCTCGTTGGTCAGGAACCATCTTTATTTTATTCTCGCGAGCTGCCTGTATCACATATGTCATTTTGGCCGGTTTTACATTTCCCGAAATTCAAAAACTCCACAAGACGCAATTCACCATTATCGGGGAAACCTACCACGTCCCCATTGCCATTTGCGAACCGGGGGCGCTCAGCATTGGCGACACGACCATCTTTCAAGATGTCGCCGAAATTGCCGGTTGTCGGACCATGGATGTGTTGATCAATTCGTGTGCTTCCTCCTTGATTCTGAGTGCTGTCGCTGTTCTGATTTATGTCGTCATTGATTTATTATCGAGATGTCATCATGGAATGGATCGAGGATCCGTATCGGGTATGGGTATTTTCTTGCTCTTTATTGTCTTTCAAGCATCTTCCACCACATGGGCATTGGCGGAAGAATCCGACTTTTGGTCCGATTACATGTCCCGCTTTTGGAAGGAACAGGGATTTCAAGAGGATTATCCCATTGTCACACGAGTACACACATATGGCAATGAAATGCTTCTGTGGTCCACGGGAAGTGTCGGGGCTGCGGCGTGTATCTTGATCTTTTTTGAATCCATGGCCAATTTGTGTTGTAGTGTCAGTGAACCAGACCCAGACGACGGAGACGAAGATGAAGCAGGAAAAGTAGAACCACCCAACGTGGAAGAAGAACCCAACAAGGTGGCCGACGATCCAAAGTTTCCAGATATTGACATTGAAACGGGAAAGAAGCAGGAAACCCCAACGGTTGTTCCCACTGTCATCATTAGCAGCAATGCCGAACCAGAGATTGATGTGCCGTCGACGGCGGATTATGTAGAGGTGGAACACACGTCCAAAGAGGAACCAGACAAGAATGATGATAAATCGAAGGATGATGCCGCAACACCACAAGACGACAACCCTGCAGACAAGGTTGAGAAGACTGCTTCTACCAAGAGTGAAAGCAGCAAGAAAGAGGACAAGCCTGTAGAGGAAAGAACTTTGGTGAAAGAGGTAGAACCTACCGCGGATGCAAAGGACACGGCTGTTCCAGAAGAAGAGAAGGAAGCCACACCAGAACCAAAAGCTCCTGTCAGAAACACGGAACATGGTTGATTTGATTGCAAGTCAACATTTTGTTGGACAAGAGTTGGACTTCTGCAATCAACAAGAACTCGACGTACTCGACTGCGGTATGCTTTGTGGATAGCTATGGTCCCACATTGAGTCGTCCCTTATAGATCAAGCCATTATGCTTCTACTCGTTCTACTAGCATTGAATAACCATAGAGTAGTTACAGTGCTCCTTGTACGTACTAGTTTTGCTATCAGGCGCAGTCGTGATCGGCTTAGAATAAGCTTTTGCCTTCTGTTGTCACTGCCAACCAATAGTAGTATCTTACCAATCGTTCTCTTCCGGACCAGCATCAGGATATGCCCTTGAGTTATGGTGTGCTCGTGGGGCCTTTGCTCATCCCAGTGCTGACACGGCACCCCGTCCGAGGTGACATTGATTGTCCATCTATTGCCTGACTGTTGCCTAGCTAGTAGCCTCCGATCCACATTCATCATCATTCTGTTTATCTCTTCAAAAGAGTAGTCATGATGGCAATGCCGTGGTGCGATTTCATCCTGCCTGTCGCTTCTTCCACGCCACGGTGAGAGAGACCACGAGTTCTCTAGCTCGCGGTCCCTGCGTCTTTATGTGTTTTCTTCTTTTGTTACTTTCGTAACGTGCCTCATTTGTGGCTATGCATACCGGTAGGTACTACATACCGGTACCAGGTACCGCACCGTACGTTCTGCCGTTAGTGGAGTGTCGTGTCCACGATGAACTGAAAAATCACTCCCGCCACAATCTCGCGCCGAAGCCCGAACAACAGAGCTCCTACAAGTACTAGTACCGGTAGCATAGAAGCCCTCATAATTGTTTGTCTCGTTGACTTGCCATCCATCCTTCACTATCAATCAACATCATCACAGCAGCTCATGACGACACGACGCAACAAATCTGAGGAGGCTGAGTTTTACAATGACCAACTCATGGACCCGTTCGCAGAGGGCGGCTTTCGCTATGCGGCAGAGGGCGAGTTCGTCGAAGGAGACCGAAAGGGGCAAAAAGCAGTGTGTAAATGGTTCAAGAAGGGACACGTTCATGAAAGTAAGTTCTTCGATCTCGATATCAAGGCAATGGAGAAAAGTGTTGAGCTCGTGAAGTCTTGGAGTGACAAGAGAATCATTGAGCAACGTATTAGAGTGAACGTTCCCGAGGTGTGGACGTTCGAGAAGAGCGATTTTTTCCACGAAGACACAAAAGTGCTCGTTGAGCCATTCATTGAGAACTACAAGAAGTTCAACTCGAACACAGGATGGCATGACTCCTCTACACCCTGGCCGAAGGTTATGCAGGCTTTGAGTCACTTCACCTACCATGCATCGAACGGAGACTATCTTCTTTGCGACCTGCAAGGCGGAGTTGATTCAAAGGGCGTTGTACTAACTGACCCTGCAATCCTCTCCAAGAACAGTGAATTTGGATTGACAGACCTTGGGTCGAAAGGGATAAGCTCATTCTTCTCACAGCACAAATGCAATGAGTTTTGCCGTTCACACTGGCGGAAGCCCAACAATCGTGCCCAATATTTCTCTCCCCAAGAAGGCACATCAATGTCCAGTTTTGCCACAATGCCACCTCCTCCTCCACAATTCGTCTTCCGATCGTCCTTCAACAACTCGGATTCCGTCTCTACGGCCAGTGGCTTTCCGACCATGGCGCCTCCTCCACCGCGCCAACTCTCGTGTTCGTCAACTGAAAGTAGCATCTCAGCATTGGTGCCCCGGAATTTGTTTCCGATGATGCCGCCACCTCCCAAGAGAAGCAAGCCCAGCAAGAACTTTTCACGCGTAGGATACCTGCGAAACGTCAATTTATTTGGTTCTTTGCCATCCGTGGAAGAATGAAGGTCAGGCTTGATGCATACTGGCATCTTAATAAAATGGCAGGTTGACCTCAGAAGCACTTGTGTTTGACAGGAGCTAGCTGAATAATGCAAATACTATCAATTCAATAGTGAACACGATTCTATACAAAGTACTCTCCATCTAGATTCTTGGCATACCCCGTTCCAGGTGCACCATACATGACACGGCTGCTGAGAACTCCTTCAAGCATGGTGATCTTTTCTTGTACATTCTTGAATGACAGAACCTCCTCATGGCCCATTGTAGCAATATCCAAAACATTGTAGGCAATCTCTCCTCTGGAATGGTTCACCTGCTGAATGATATTCAAGTCTGCATCACCAAACGTCTCTGTAATGTGAGCAAGGACACCAGGAACATTTTTGTTGACAACAGTAAATCGGACAGTGTGCTCTGGGCGATCTGGGAGGCTAGTGGAAGGGAAATTGACACTGTTACTGATGGTGCCAGATTCCAGATAGTCACGGATAGTATCAGCTGCCATGGCAGCCTGTTCAATCAAGCATCCATGCAATCATTTGTAAAAGTCAGAATCGAATAGTATGCTTTTGAAATAGCCTGTCTTCAGCAACTACAACATTGTATAACTTACAGCGGCATCTTCTGCTTCTTCAGTGGAAGCACCCAGGTGAGGCAGGACAACAGCATTCTTGTGGTCCCAGACAAGATCATCTGGAAAGTCCGTAACATATCTACCATCACCAGCATCCAGGAATTCCTTCATGGCTTCTGAGTCCACCAATTCACCACGAGCAAAGTTCAAGAGCACAGCATTTGGTTTGAAATGACTGATGACATCTGCCCCAATGACTCCATGTGTGCCACCTTCTCCCTTGATATAGGGAATGTTGAGTGAGATGTAATCTGCATCTGAAACTGCAGCCGTGATGGAGTCCATGAGCTCCAGCGCCCTTGGCAATCGGAGAGCAGATTGCACAGAAAGACCAGGGTCATATCCTACAGTACCATTGTTCCAACCAATCGAAAAGTCAGTGGCGTTCTAAAACCTGGAGTCCATGCTTTCGCAGTACAATTTTTTGTTTTTGTCGTTGCTTACCCTTCAGTGTCATGCCCAAAGCACGGGCATCACGGGCAGTTTGGGAACCAATGTGTCCTACCGTACAGAAAATTGCTCATGATTGTGAGGTAATATAATATATTGTGGTGAATTAAAGCCATGATGTGTCATGCACTTTTTCTTACCAAGTCCAATAACAGCAAGAGTTTTACCCTTGAGTTCTTGTCCTCCAAACATGGCTTTATCCTTTTCAACACGCTCTCTTGCCAATCCTTGCTGTCCCAAGTCTTTCATGTGGTTGATTCCATCAATGACTCTGCGACTTCCCAGCAGCATTCCACATAGGACCAATTCTTTGACAGCATTGGCATTGGCTCCTGGAGTATTAAATACTGGAATTCCCAGTTCTGTCATGCGAGCCACGGGGATGCTGTCCATGATATACGGTAGATTGTTTTGGTTTGGGGTGGAGTTATTACGTGGATTGTTGTGTGTGTATGTGCCGATATTGACCAGTTCCAGTATCGAAGAAAGGAAGGAAGAAAAAAACACCATTGTCAGTTACTCTCCTCCCGTGTTGTCAGTTTGCTGACAATAAGAGAAAGTAAGCAATAATGACTAAGTTCACTACTTACTTGTTGGTTCCTGCGCCACACCGCGCAATGGCCCGGACAGTCCGTGGGACATCTTCCTCTTGTAGTTTGTGTGAACGGAGAAGAATAGCGTGTGCATTATTGCCTTCTTGGGCATCCGTTCGAATGTCATATTGGTCCGATGGAAATTGCGCCAATCCAATGGGTGAAATTTTGTTGAAACACTTGATTTGGTACATTCCTGGTTTGTATTGATCAATATCTCCATATGTTTTCCATTCTCCTCGTCCATGTTCGACATGTACATTATAGTCAGCGAATGCACGTGCTGTCAAGACTGGAGTAACTCGAGTGGGTGCTGCTGCTGCTCGTCGGGAGAGCAGGTGTCCCAAGGCTCTTGTGGAAATAATCATGGTTACTATCTCTTGATAGATAGCTAGCTAGCTAGCTGGTAGATAAATGAATGGACAAACCAAAGGGGTGGACTGCCAAAAAGGACTGTGTGGCTGCGCTTGTACTACTTCGGTAGGTACCGGTACAAGGGCAACACTCTTGCAATTTTAAAATTGTGTGGTGTGCACAGCTCAACAGAAGAAATGAGAATGCCCCTCATTTTTTGAGCCCTTGCCTTACGTTTGGACTGACGTAATTCGTGACTGGAACGGCCGCAGAAACATGTTTCAAGGAATTTTGCCTCTTTGCTTTTGGAATTTTGGAAGAGCACAAGACGTCCGAAGCAGACAACAAGAAGCAAGTGACAGGTACCTGGTACCGGTAGCACCTCTAGTTCTTCATCTATCTACAAGTATCTGTCGCTGTGGGCCTTGATCATACCATTATCATCAGGAACATCATGAACGACGAAGAGACTGCTAAAACGCAACTTCAACATCTCTTTATGAGACTGTTGCATTCCTCTCGCAACGCAGAAGGAGGCCGCCAAGACCTGTTGGACTGCGTGTCTCTGTTGGAAGAATTTCCCCCATTGGCAGCAGCCACCTTTCCCATTCGATCCCTCGATTCTCCGTGGGGCGGACGTCCCAAAGTCCCGCTCTTTCTACTCACGGCCTACGGCGCCAGCTTGGTCCAGATCCAAACCGTCTACAAACTCTGTCCCGCCGCACTGCTCATCACGGCGTGTCCCGAACTCGCTACCCTGGCCAAACGCAGTCAACGCGTCAATATGGATGTCTTTTTGTTTCTCTCTCAAAAGTATCCTTCCTTAATGTCACGACGCAATCGACAGGCTCGATTGGCCGTACAAGAATTGCTCCTCACCAAGAGTCCTCTTTGTCTGGAAGGACACGATACCGTTCCATTCGATCAAGTGGCAGGACACTTTCAACAAATGACTGTTCTGAGTCAAAGTACGACAATGTCATCGCGATCTTGGTGTACCACACGACTCTTGCGCGATGCCTTTCACGAAGAATGTTCGCCGCCCATACTCGACTGGATCATCCACCAGTTGCCGCCCACGGCGACTCATTTTTGTTTGGGAGGACGACCGGGATACAAACTTTCCATTAGGGATGCCAAACTGGTGGCGACTATTTTACCCAAATTGGAACAATTCACATTTCGAGTCTACTTTTCTCATCCGGCGGGTGCCTCGGACCTGTGCGAAAACGACCAGGTATTCGATTATCTCATTCAGGAATTGGCAAAAGCGTGTTGTCGTCGCAACAAGAATAAGGGGGCGAGGAGTTTGAAGAATTTGCGACTGGATATTCCCCACCTAACCATGGTTCCCAGTGTCTGTGAAAAGTTATTATACGACCATGACCAGTGTACCCTGCAGCATTTGGAGTTTCGCGTTGTGGAACGTGCTACAGACGAGAGTACCAAATTGGCACTGTCACTGCAAGAACAACATCAACACTTGTTTCAGTTTCTCGTCCATCGATTAGAAACCACCAATCTGACATTGACCCGATTCCACCTCTTGGCACAAACTGGACGCATGGTCATGCGACCCATTGTCAATGAAAAGGTCAAATTCTACACGGCACTCAACCTATACGATCGCAAACGAGCACGACAATCCAAACCAGAGTTGGTGCATGTGCTACAGCAGGTCGTGTCATCATCCTCCAACCAAGAAGAGGAGGCCGTTCCGTTCTTGTTTCAACTATTGCTCGAGAATCCCACACTTTGGGCTCATACATGGGAGGGTCAAAAGAAGAGGAAACGACATTATGGCGTCGTTCAAGAGGGAACTACTGACACAAGTGGACCGCCAGAGGCAAAGAAGCAAAAGTTGGAGAGTTCAAGCTAGCTAGCTAATAGTGATAAGGATTTCTTGGGTTAAAAATCTAATAATTCTTGCTTAGCCCACAGATAGATGATCTCCACAATATCATGCGATTTTGTGGCGACAGTCTACTCACTCGACCGTTACAGACCAGACCGGCTAGCTAGCTAGCTAGAGTTGTCCTGAACTGAGACAACCTAACGGTCGTTTGGTTTGGGTGTTCTGGTCAAGGTTGGTCAGCTAGACTCTAGAGTTTGGAGTGTAGTCTTCTTTGTTGCGCAGCCCAGCACACAAATGACACAGCTCCGAAAAGGCGTGGACACGGGAGTTTCGGTTTGAAACTCAGAGAAAGGCAACTTACAGAAGCTAGCCAGTTCCGAGGCAGCTGGGTTTGCTTCACAATAATGCTCATACCCAACCATCGGTAAATTGAGCTGATCATATCGTCATTTCGTCACCCTCTTGTGGTGGTTGGGTCCTCGAAGAATTGTACGGAGGTGGACCACAGCCAAGCAGCAGCTCGCCTGGTTGTAGTTGTTGTTTTTGAGACGACGACGAGTGATAGGTCTCCAGGAGATGTTTCCGCCGTAGTTTCAACGCTTCCAAATGCAACCGTGGATTGGCTCCATTGTCTTGACGTAGTATTCGAGCCTGCACAAAAAGACACGGATTGTTCTTGTCCTTGTCAGAAGCATCATTATTTTGTGGTGGTTTGCTGCTGGCTTGTTGTAGATTGGTTGCCACTTCTCGGACAAATGACGAAAGAGGTACTTGTGAAGTGTTATTGTCCTCATTGCCGGACTGCAGTTGGATGATGCTCCCAAATACCGTCACCAAATCTCCCACGGCCAGATTGTCCACGGGGACATGTTGCGGGTCCACCACAATCCACACGGTATGAGAAGTCAAGGCTGTGGCCAAAACATCTTGGGGCCGTTGTTTGGTGACAGAGGACAGTGGTCGTTTTTTGCGAATTGACGACAAGCCTCCTCCAGGAGTTTGGAATGGACGGGAAGCCGCCGGAGTTTGAAATGAGCGGGAAGCCGCCGGAGTTTTGAGACCACCTGGAGTGACCAACAGAGGTGTTCTGTTGTGGCGTGGCATGCCCAAGCTGGGTCTTCGATTAGTAGAAGTAGATTGTGGCGGTTGGGTGGTAACAACTGTTGTACTGGGAGTTTTAGCAACCGTGCCGGGAGTTTTGGGAAGCAAAGAAGTGGTCCTGGTGGGTCCAAAACTGATGCGTCGTCCCTTCATCTTTTTGGCCTTGGTGGTGGCGGGTGTTTGGAGTCCTCCTCGTTCCTTGACGGCCAGTTTGGCCAACGGATCCTCCAGTACCAAGGAAACTTCTGTACTATTCCCATGATGAATGCGATGACGTAGAACTCCCGTAGTACGAATAGGCCTGTTGGCATTGGAATAGAGCCCTCCATGACGACCAATTTCCGAAATGGTCAGTATTTCGGCAGCCCCAAAACTGATCATGTTTGAAGGCAATCGCTTCCAAATAGGGAGTGAGACGCTCATGGGCATGGCCACGTCCGTGTCTTCTGGATGATGGTTGTTGTTGTTGTTGTTGGTGGTGGTGGTGTTGTTGTTGTTGGTGGTGTTGTTGGTGGTGTTGTTGGTTGGCATTGCTGCTGAACTCTGTTTCCAATCATCTACTTCCTTCTCGACAATAAAGTCGTCATAATCCTCCAATGGCTTTTGAAACAACTCGGGCGGTGCCGTCTTTTTGGTCGCATACGGATTTACTCGTTTTCGTGAAGAGGAGGAATTGGCATTGCTGCGAACAGGAGGATCACTCATTGTCCACTATCACACACTGACTGATCCAACCATACATAACCAGAAACCAATGACAGCCTCGGAAGAAAAAACACAAGCAACAACAACTCGGGTAAAAGCTGGCAGCTGGACTCTCGACAAATCCTCTGACACTACAGAGCTGAACCAGCGCTTCTTCTGTGTCTATATATGTTATATATGAGCAAGACAGCGGATGCAAAAGCAGGGATGGGGGTGATGAAAGCGTTGCCAGGTATGGACGAAGGCTTTCGGAGGGAAGTGGGCACAACAGCGAGGCAACGCGAAAAAGAAAGCCGACGCGGATCTTCATCACGCCACTGACAAACCTCAGTCTTTAGAAATTACAAAGGATGGAGAACGATAATGGCGTCATTCCCTTGGCGCTCACTCTTGTTTTTCAACTTGCGATGGGATAATGCTAGCTAGAGCTACGGTAGCTATGGATACGTGTCGGTACCAGTAGCTAGCAAGGTGGTTATTTACTTAAAATGAAGAATGCATGCCCATATTTTAAATATGGTGTATACACTGTACCCCGGCTACCACAACCCAACAATCGAAGCTAGGGGGGGGGGGGCAATGAAAGCGAGCACAGAACTTGATCGAAGGCCGCCGCATGCAGTCTACCCTCAAAGAAAGAGAGATTCATTGCGTTTAGAATTGTTGAACAAGGTAGTACAGATATGTGGACGGGTTGCCACCCTCCCGCTCTTGGCATGATTGGTGGGTGCAAGGGCATTGCGTCACCTCCAGCGCCCATCCC